ACTAGTACAGGTTACATGTTAACTTTGAGGGATGTCAGATACATTTTGGATATGAAATTGAACTTACTTGTTATTGATGTCCTTGATAAAAAAAATATGAAGGTCGATAAAAGAATGGGTAGTGGAGCTTCTCAAAGGATCTATGGTAGTTGCAAGGGAAAAACTATGCTACACAATGTATAAAACATGGATGTAATTGAATGGTAACCATGTAAATGTTGTTGAGGATGATGCTTCAGTAAACTTATGGCATAAAAGGCTGACACACATGAGTGAGAAGGGGTTACAGGTTTTGGCAAAACAGTCTCTTATTCCCTTAACCAAAGGTATGTCTCTTGATTCATTTGATTATTATTTGTTCGGTAAGCATTGTAGGGTTTCTTTTCATAAGAGTTCTCAAAGAAAAGAAAATAGATTGGAATTGATTTATTCTAACGTATGTGGTCCCATTGAGGTTGAGTCATTAGGTGGTGGTAGTAGATATTTTGTTACTTTTATTGATGATACTTCATGTAAGACTTGAGTGTATATGTTAAAATACAAAAGTCATGTACTATAGTATTTTTAAAAATTTCATGTCATAGTTGAAAGGATGATAGAGTTACATTTAAAGTGTAATCGGACTGATAATAATGGAGAATACACATCCAAAAAATTTGAAGAGTATGTTCAGAGTATGGGATCAAGCATGAGATGACAAAACCTGTAACATCGCAGCATAATGGTGTAGTTGAAAGGATGAATTGCACCATTGTAGAAAAAGTTATATGTATGTTAAGGATAGCAAAATTATTAAAGCCATTCTGGGGTAAAGCAGTCAACACAGCTTGTTATTTGCTTAATAGGTCATCATCAGTTCCTTTAGGCTTTGACATTCTAAAAAACGTGTAGACAAGAAAAGATGTTTCATACTCTCACTTAAAAGTTTTTAGATGTAAAGCATTCATACATATGCCAAAAGAACAGAGGTCAAAGTTTGATAGTAAAGTCACATAGTATTTTTTGTAGGATATGGTGATGAGAAATTTAGTTATAAGGTATGGGATCCAGTGAAGAGAAATACAGTCAAAAGTAGAGACGTGATCTTTCATGAAAAAAAAATTATAGCAGATCTTAAAAAAAATAAAAAGACTACACGAGTTATTATTGAGTGTAATATTTCAATATCGATAGAGGTTTCATAAGAAAAAGCCACAGATGATAGAAATGAGCAAGAAATAGAACTTAAGGATATGAATGAGTAGCCATAGTTAGTGATGAGTCAAATACAATCAATTTTGAGCAAAGAAAGCAATCCTCTCTACCTGCGAGTGTTGAGTAGGGAAAGTTACCTTCGGTATCAGGTGATGTACAGTCTCAGCCTAAAAGATATACTAGAGAGCGCAGGCCATCTACCAGGTATCCAATTTTAAATTTTATTTTGGTTATCAGTGAAAAGGAACCAGAGAGCTTTCAAGATGTGCAGGTTACTTTGGATAGAGAGTACTAGTTAAAAGCAATGAAAGAATAGATGGAATCATTACGAAAAAATGGTATTTATGATCTTGTTAAACTTTCAAAAGAGAAGAGGCCATTGAAAAATAAATAGGTGTTCAAGTTAAAAAAAAATGGTGATAAACTAGTGAGGTATAAAGCTCGATTGATGGTAAAAGATTTTTCTTAAAAATCAGGCATCAATTTTGATGAGATCTTTACTCCAATTGTGAAGATGAGTTTCATTCGAATAGTATTAAGATTAGCAGTTAGTTTGAATCTTAAGCTTGAGCAACTTGATGTTAAAACTATATTTTTGCATAGTGACTTGCAGGAAGACATTTATATGAATTAGCCTGAGGGTTTTGAAATGAAAGGGAAAGAGCACTTAGTTTACAAATTGAAAAAAAGCTTGTATGGCTTGAAACAAGCTTCGTAACAGTGGTACAATAAGTTTGATTCTTTTATGGTGAGTCATAGTTATAAAAGAATGGCACCAGATTCTTGTATGTATGTCAAAAAATTCCCTGATGGTAACTTCGTTATTCTTTTATTATATGTTACTGATATGTTGATTGTGGGATAAGATATTGGTATGGTTCACAGGTTAAAAGAACAATTATCCAAGTTCTTTGACAGAAAAGATTTAAGTTCAGCAAAGTAGATTCTAGATATGGACATTATTCGGGATAAGAGAGTTAGAAAACCATGGTTATTACAGAAAAAGTATGTTGAATGAGTGCTTAGTAAATTCAACATGCAACATGCTAAATCAGTTAGCAGTCCATTTACCAACCATTTTCATCTGAGAAGAAATCTTGTATAGTGTCTAAAGAAGACCAATTAGCTATATCTAGTATTCTTTATTCTTTTGCAGTTGATTCTTTAATGTATCTTATGATTTGTACACAACCTAACATTGCTCATATAGTTGGTGTAGTAAATAGATTTTTTTTTTAATCCGAGAAAGGTTCACTAAGAAGCAGTGAAATGAATTTTTAGATATTTGAGGGGTACCTCAAAATTGTACTTGAGTTATGGAGTTTCACAATCAGTTCCAAAATGGTTTACTGATGCTGACATGACAGATGATATTGATGGTAGAAAATCTACTTCAGGATATTTGTTCATTTTTACAGGAGAAGCTGTGTCTTAGCAATCTAAGTTGTAAAAGTGTGTTGCTTTGTCAATTACAGAGGTAGAGTATATTGCAACAATCGAAGTAGGTAAAGAAATGATTTGGATGAAATGTTTTCTTCTTGAATTGAGGTTAAATAAAAAAGAGTATGTAGTATTTTGTGATAGCCATAGGGCTTTATATTTGAGTAAGAATGCCATGTACTATGCAAAAACAAAGCATACTGATGTTAGATATCATTGGTTACATTCAGTGATTGAAGAACAACAAATGTTATTGAAAATAGTCCATACTGATGAAAATGTAACAATATGTTAACTAAAATACTTCTCAAAAAGAAGCTTGAGCTATGTAGTAACTTGACCAGAATGAGTTCCTTAGCCCAGATAAGTTTTAAATGAAACTGCTATGGTGATAAATCTTCTCCTAATAGGGTTAGAGGGGAAGATTGTTAGGAAAATGGGGTCCAACCCCATATAATTGATTTTGGATCAATCAAAGGCCATGGGCCTTGGTCTTTCTTTTTACACAGTGTCCTAGCTACTTAATTAAAAAAAATTGAGCTATTTTAAGATAGTGTCACAAACCAAGAAGAAAAAGAAAAAAAGTCAAAAAAAGCAGAGAGAAAAATAGAAGGGAGAGTTGGTTGAATGGAAGTCAATCCGTGGTTCGATTGAGCTGAACTTTATCGGTAGGTTTATGATTTAGAGTTCTACATTCTAAACGGTGAAGATCGGGTTTGAAGCTCTCTATAAACAAATCCATTGTATATTTGTTGAGTCACCTATTTGGTGAGATCTCTTCAATTATCTCTCTAGTTATTGATTAGCTCTAGTTTTAGCTAAAGAAGAACTTTATATATCCATTATTTGATAGTGAAAATTTTTCTAGTGGTCCATAATTTTTTTCTCTACACTAGAAGGTTTTTCATGTAAATCTTGGTGTACTTTACTTTTCTTGTATTTTTTATTATTGATTGTTGTCTATTGCTGTGAATTTATTACGATTTATTACTTTTGTATTATTATGATTATTGCTTTAAGTGTAACAATAGAGACCTAGTTAACTATGAGGAGAAGGGTAAAAAGAAGGATGGGGGTATAGTCCCTATTCATACCCAGTTACCATAGACACCATCACATAGTGCTTTACCAAGTTCATCTAGACCTATTTCTCTAAAAGTTGAGCTACCTAAACCTTATATTCCTTTCCCTCAGAGATTTGAAAAGTAGAAGGAAAAGAAGTAATTTTCTAAATTTCTTAAAGTGTTTAAGAAGCTACACATTAATATCCTATTTGCAGATGCACTTGAGTAGATGCCTATCTATGCAAAATTCATGAAAGATATTATCTGTCGAAAAGGGAGATTGGAGGATTATGAGACAATTACGCTCACCAGTGAGTGCACATCATGTTTGGCTTTCAAGTATGCATTTTCTTATAGCTATCATTTGTCCTTGCATTTTAGGTTTAGCTATAATTTTCATTTGCCTTTTATTCATTGTTTTCGATGTTTAGATTTCTTTTATTTTTATTTTTATTTGGTTACTTGATTTTTTTAGTACAATTTTAATTTTTGCATATTAGTTTTTTTTCTTTTACTTGTTAATTTTGTTTAGTTAATTTTTCATGCTTATTTTTTTATTGAATCAACTTTAGTAAGAATAAAGTGATAATCAGTAATTAGTTTAGAAAGTTATACCTAATCCATGTGGGATCAACATTCTTACCAAAAGGTAGCTTTTACTATTTATGCGGCCTATATACTTGTAAATTTTTTGTATTATTTTCATCTTCAAAATTGAATTTTCTCTTTTTAAACCTGTATTGGCATCCCTTAAATCAATAATCCATAGTTTCAAATGTTTTCCTCGATCGGCTTATGATGCCAAGTAAAAAATTGATATTGATTTCCTTGTGCACATCATACATTTCAATTATAGATTTTATTATCATGCCAAGCACAATCTTAGGGATAATCAAACTTCAAAACCATGCTTTAGACTTAATAATCAAACTTTAAACTTCAAATATAACTGATAATTATTGTAGCCAAAGAAATGCCTTCCAGGATTATCATCACTTGTTGAAGTGACTTGATAAGGCTTTAATCCATAATAGCATAACACAAACTCATCTCCATAATCATAGGTTACTAAAACAAATTTGAATCTATTGTCAATTCAACATTCAGTCGTAATAATAAAATTATAAAAACAAATGTCAATTTGTTGTCAATTTAGGGGTTAACAATCTTTGGACTCCTTACTTTTTTGGTAAACAATAAACTCAATAATGTTAAATATACATTCAAAGTAAAAAAAAAAAAAAAATTATCATTCTTGGATTTATTATAGTTTTCCATCAATTTTTCTATTTTTTTCTTTAGCTTCAAATAAGCTCAACCCAATCAAAATGCTAATAAGAAATCACTATATCTAATGGGAAATCATTGCATATGACCACAATCAATGTAACATTGCAAACCTAATCTTTAAAAAACAATTCTAATAAAGAATATAAACCTGTCAACCCAATCTTTTCAATGTAGCAATTAGGGTTTAGGGTTTTCAAATAATCCATTTTTTCAATTCTATAAAAATATCAATAAGAAAAAACTAACAGATTGCAATCAAAGTGCAACAAAGTTTTACTAATAAACCAATGAGAAAAACGATTCATCGCTCACACTTGTTCTTGTTTCCAATCCGAATTAGAGAAATTGAACATTTCTTCTTATAAAGTTTATTGATTCATCAAAATTGAACCCCTTTTCACTTTTAATCAATTCCTTCAACTTTTCTATTCCAAGATTTCAATTTGAGTTCATGATCTTTTAGAACAAACGAGAAACAAAGGATTTGAGAATTAAGGATTTTAAGTTCTTTTCAGTTTTATGGTTTCACAATTTTCTGTTTCTCTTTTTTTTTGTCACAATTTATTTTTTTTTGTTAATGATATTAATATATTATTAAGTTTAAATAATGGTCGACATGAATTTTTGGTAGTCCACATGGCCAGAATTTATAATACACGTCAACATTAACAAAGTTAAGAACAGAAAAGAAAATCACGTTAATAGCTACGTCAGCCATTTAACGAATAAAATTTAACACTATTAACTATTGAACTAAAATCCTTAAAAATAATACTACAATGATTAGTTCCTTTAAATAGTATTAAAGAGATTAAATTCCTAAAAATCGATTAGTACATGGACCTTTGGCATATTTTGACCTAAAATGAATAAATGGGCAAAGAGGACAAATTCATCACTAGTTATGTCACGTCGACCTAACTTTTCCATATGAAGAGCAGAAATAAGTGTCAAAAATTTGCAGGCTGCATCCCATCAGAGCTATTGTGCTGTGTCTTAAGCGTGAAGTTGGTCTTCAGAATGCATATCGGAAGATAGCATCAGCTACACCATCTTCATCATTGCTAGCACCAATTACATCAGCCACAGCTTTTGTTTTCTCCGATCCATTACTGAGAGCAATTCCTAGAGATGCTAACTGAAGCATTTCAACGTCATTTTCCCCATCACCAATGGCCATTATCTAGGGAAACAGAAAAGAAAAATATTAGAATTATTAATGTCAATATAGGCATATCTCTATATTTAGGCTCACAAAAGCATATTTCAGTCGGTTAGCATCATGATAGTTCTACTTCTATCCTTGTAAAAAAGGTAATTAAACATCGTAGCAGCTAGTTTTCCAGTCATCTAAGCCCGCATGCTGCATTTGCTGTGTGAATATCCAAAATGAACTATTGGAAGGCTAGTTTCACTATATCCAAGCAAATTAGGCGAATGCGAAAGAGAAATAGAGAAAAGAATTAGGTGGATGGAAGAAAAATGGAGAAAAGAATTAGGTGGATGGGAAAGAAAAATGGAGAAAAGAAGATAGAAGATAGGAGAAAATGTTGTCTGTACCTCATTTGCATTGACACCCCAATGATCAAGTAGCATTTTTACTCCTCTCCCCTTTGAAGTCCCCAAGGGAATGATTTCAAGCATGTCTGGTACAGCTTGGATAACATTAGCACGATCTCTTGTTGCTTCTGACCAGTATGGACGCAAATTAGTTGCTATTCCCTCAGCAGTGTCAAAAAAGATCAGCTTCTGCAAATCCAGAAGATGTGCATTAAATGATAAGGACCATATTCAACAAAATCCACGATATCTATTGGATTGGATTCTGTGATGGCATTTAAACAAAAAATCTTTAATCACCTTACGCTTTTCTTTCTTGAAAAGTAGTTTTATGTCAACAGCAATATCATAGACATGCATCTATATTAGAATCGCAGAAGCCATGGGCAATGAGTGCCACTGTTTCTGATAGCATTTTGGGATTTAATTTAGAATTAAAAGTGAAAGACCAGAAATGCATTTAGGTAGGAAGAACGCAAGCATTAGTTACTCATGCCAGGACTTCTCAAACCATATTAAAGATTGCAGTTGTTGAACAAATAACCAGATTCACTCGAACTCAATAATAAATGAAACAACCACCATAGCTCCTTTTTATCTATTTCACAGACAAAAATGTTGAGTCCTTGCAGACAAAGATATACTCCTATTACTTTCTATCTATGCTTTAAGCAAGAACTAAATCTCTGCCTGTACCTGTGTGTCAGCAGCAGCCACCAGATGCTCAATTGAAGGCATGATCTCTGCCTGTAAAAGTTGTTGTGTATCATACACATCATAAAAATTTTATTGATCAACAAATAAAATGTATTAATACAAGGAAAAAGTACACGGCACCTTTGGCTCATGATATACAGTATGCAGTGTGTCAACAAGAGGGTGATCAAATAGGGTTAAACAGCGATCCTCGCAAAATGCAATAAGAGGAACCTCATGCTCCAAAGAGTAACGGCCTGCCTGAAAATTTTAAGAACAGTTGAATTATGATAAAAACAATAGATTTATTTTTAAAGGATCTAACATGGCTATTGCCAATCAGGGAATTAAGTGATTAGTTTGTTTGATTCCCTTTCTTTTGGGCAGGGGTAGTTAAAAATCATTCACCCAGTCCACTTCATGTCTGACACAAAACAGACCACCCAAATTGTCTCTGATCATTCCTAGGAAGACTAGCACTTAGAGATCACTAGATGAATAATGGCTAATGGAACCTATCCTTTTCTTCCTCTTGATAATCTTGGGACAGGAGAGAGGAGTGAGAATATCCTCATATAAATTTGGCAATGAATACTATTAAATGAAGTCCTATCTAAAGAGTAATGAGAATAAATTGCAGCCTCTGGCAAAAAAACTGCTCAAATTAAAATGAAATAAAGACAGAATTCAGATGAGAATTTAAGAATATGAATTTTTCCTGATAAAGAACTTGGCAGAATCAGCAATTTCAGTAAAGTAAAGAAATTGCAGCTAATACTTTGCTCCTCCAGAGAAGTTTTCGGTAACTAGCATCAGTGCAGTTACTAGTAACTAGCACAATTAACTTAAATAAACTACTATCTGTTCAAACAAAATACAGTTCATATAACATTATAATGTGAGAGAATTTCTCTCAATAAATGTTAGGACACACAGACCGAGCAACATCCTACTACTCACAAAAGACAATGAAAACTTAACATGCAGATTGTAAAAAAATATTCAATGTTAGCAAGTAACCTTTTACCAGGAAAAGAAACCACAATCCCAAGTCCGTAAATCAATAGCATAAAGAAAATTGAAACTCCAAAGTCTTGCGACAAGAATCATTTGATGTTTAAGCAAAAGAGGTATTACCTCTCTGCAAACATTTGGATCTAAATTCCCTTTAAAAACTTCTCGTCCATTTATACCATAAACAAGTAATCCCTGAGGGCAAGAAGAAGAAAGCAATTGAGTTAACATCATGGTACTAATGTAAACTGTCACAGGTTTTCAAGCATAAGAAAGTGTGCAGAATTAAATTTTGCATTGTGTTCTAATTAGGTTCATTGAGAATGTGCCAGATAGACTCTAGTCATGGGTTAAATATGTGAACTAGTAGAAGTTGACCACAAAAGCTTTGTTATTAATTCTTCAAAAGTCATTTCATAGATTGTCTGAGATTCTGTGTAATAGCAATATTCCTCTATGAAAGGAAAATATGTTCATGGAGAGAAGTCAAAGGAAAACATAAAAAGAAACCCAAGAAAAACATCAGAAAGGGCTAGAGGACTGTGTTCCTCCAACAATATCCTTCAACAAGTGGTTTCCCTTCAACTTTTAAGCTTGGCATCTCTACTCATAGAAATAGATATAATAAGAGTTTCGTGGTACATTCTTCAAAAGTCATTCCATAGATTGTCTGAGATCTGAGATTGTATTTAATAGCAATATTCCTCTATGAAAGGAAAATATATTCATGGAGAGCAGTCAAAGGAAAACATAAGAAGAAACAAAGAAAAACATCAGAAAGGGCTAGAGGACCATGTTCCTCCAACAATGTCTTTAACAAGTGGTTCCCTTCAACTTTTCAGCTGGGCATCTCTAATTATAGAAACAGATCTAATAAGAGTTTTCATGTCATTATTCAGTTGAAAGAGATGCAAGATCTCATTGCCAACAAGGATAAAGGAAAAAGAAGAACCTGTAAGAAAACCCCAGGAGAGTGCTCTGAGATGATGCCTTCTTTGCCAGCTAAATCAACCATCTGCAGAACACTTATTGCAGCAGGACGTGCCTGACATGTATCAAACCAGGAATTGGTAATCAAAATCTTAACTAGCAAGCAAAATACCAAATGGAAACATGATACATACATCAAATAAAGACATGATACAATGGTAAACTTCTTGAACAACATCCCAATAGTCAATGAATTTGAATGAGAACAAAAAGTTCCCTCTGTTCTTACTTTTCCTGTGGCTATCACAATTTTTACACCTCTTGATGATGCCTCTTTCAAAGCTCTTGCATTAGTCAATGAAACTTGGCTTTTGCTGTTCAGCAGTGTACCTAGCATTAAAGTTACAAAAACATTAGATATGGTACTGGAATTAATAAGCACTAGAATTGCAGTGGGAATAATCTCACCATCCATATCACAGAAGATGTACTTGAACTTTGGTTTGTAGAATCGAAGACTACCTTCTTTCTTCCTATCTTTTGACATATTATCTGTAAGATGATCTCACTCAAAATTATATATTATGATTTATTGTTTAGCTTCAAAATCACTAAAGAACATGCACATACAAGAAGAATATAAGCCTTGCTGGGTAAGAAATAAGACTTAAAAAGGTTCAACTAACAATAAACAGATAAAATAGGATAGTACCATTTGAATTTTCCATAGGAAGATTTGCATTAGTTTCAGCATCGTATGCACTCTGTATTAGTCCTTTTCCCTTCCATCCAAGACTCTTCAAAAGAAATTCCTCCTCCTTCTCCATTTCTTCTTCAGCATCTTCACTGATCTCATGGTCAAAACCCAATAGATGCAGCAACCCATGAAACTTCAAAGTGGATAAAAAAATAAGTTGGAGTCAATATAACATTATGATTTGGGTATCAATACCAAATGGAGTAACCATTTAAGTTGGAGTCACTCTCAAGGCTCAAGCAAATAAATGGAGAAAGTTCAAATTACTGAACCAACCATAAGGATGCGTATTTCATCAATAAGTGTGTGCCCTCGTTCTTTGGCTTGCCTTGCAGCAGTCTCAACAGAAATAACAATATCACCCAACATAAGCTGCAAAGAAAGAAAGAAATGTCAATTGCTTTAAACTTACCAGTTAAGGCAAACATTTCAGTCAACAAATATACTACTTACAATAGGAAGCTTAAGTTCAGGAACATGTTCTGACATGGACAGGACATCGGTAGCATGGTCTTCGTCCCTCCATTCCTTGTTTAGTTTCCGAATGAAGTCATCGTTACAAAGGAGTACAGACAACTCTACGCTTTCGAAACCACCAACATCTTGAATAACAGTATCTCTTGTTTTATAATTTGAGCCCTTTAAACGGTCAAAAGCTAACTTCATCGCTATTGGCACATTAAGACGAAGTAACTCCGCAATGCTCTGCAATATGTACGCAGTTGAAAAACAAAGAGGATAATTGAAATTGTCTATGCACTTTATTTTCTTTCATATTCTCGAGAAACTAACAGAAAATCCGTTAATACTAGCATTTTCAGGAGACCTAAAAATGAAATAAAGTAGAAAACGGCTAAGGAATTATCCTTTCTTTCATTTTCTCGAAAATCAAACTGAAAATTAGTTAACACTAGCATTGTTTGAAAGGTAATGTAAGATTCAAATATTTTACCAAAATTTCATGATCATCAGGTAACTCTTCTTCAATGCAAATACTGACACTGAGCTCCAACTGCTTCTCTTTACTCTTCGCTGGCCGTCTTCTCACCTTCCGATACTCTCTATTCGAGGCCGAAATGATTCGCGTTAGCCTCGATAGTCTCCTACCTTCCCGGCACAAAGCGTGAAATCTCCTACCAAAGAGGGAAGATTTCGATGAGGAAGGGACATCGAAAGGAGCCGTGTAGCGAATGAGAGATAGATTGGAAGAAGAGCGGCAGATGGAGAAGGTGATTGGAGAGCTTTCGAGAGAGAAAGTGATGGAGGCGCGTGAAATAGCAGACGCCATTGCGATGGAGGAAGGAGGGTGGAGAGAACGGAGGAGAAAAGAGAGGCGAGGGAGCATATAGATTCTTCTTTCTCGTGTTAGCGAACAGTGTGAGGCCGTTGAGACGTTAACCGCAATGGTTAAAACCCGAAACGAAATATCGAAAGGTGATTAGGATCTGCTCTTGTTTAGGTTTGTTTAATGGTTTAATCCCAGAGAATTGACCGTCGACAGTTGAGTTCTCTCAATGCTTAAAAAAAAAAGAAGGGTGGGGGGGGTGAAGATATTGGGCAACTTGACGTCTAGCTTAAAGTTTGAGACACAAAGTTACCTATCGATGGCAGCGAATTTTCATGTAATTTATTAATAGGATATTAGTATTACATATTTACATGAAAACATAATTTCTATTAATTTTTTTCAAATTTCAATTTATTTTGCCTACCATTTTAAATATAGAAGCGGAAAATTTAGATTTTTTTTTTCGAAAGTGTCAATTTGTAATATATAAAAAATTGTAAACAAAAATTTAAAATAATATATTAATATATAACTAGTTTTTTTTACTTATGTCACGCATGAAATTTTTTATTATATATTTTATAATTTAAAATTTTAATTTATACTAATTTATACATTTTATTTAGATAAATAAAAATATTCATAATTACTTATAATTTGTAATAAAAAATTACAAAAGCTATCTACGTATAAATTATTATGAAAAAATCCGAAAAAATATTATGCAAGTTTTGAAAAAAATAAATTTTAATAAACTTTTTTTTTGTATTACAAAAGTAAAATTACATATAAAAACTCAATGAAAAAATTAATCTTTTATTCAAAATTTACATATACTCTAAAAACGAAACATTATTTTAGTGTGAAAACTAAAATTTACACGTCACATATTATTTGTAGGTTGAAAACCTAAATTTTGCTTTTTTTAAAAAAAATTTTTGGGCAGTAAATTTATAAATTTTAACTTGAAATTTCAATGAAAATAAAAAGAAATTTAGCCTACTAATTAGGATTTACCATCCAATTAACGAAGGTAAAGATTATTATTTATATGATTTTGAATTGATGAAAATAAAATAAATTCACAATATTAATAATTAAATTTAATATTTCAATACCAATATAAATACTATTCAAAGTCCGAAATTACCAAAAGAAAAATGAGTATAAATCGTGATTACATGGTTATATATTGAATTATTACGTGATAAATGTTTATCTTCTATTTATTCTAAGAAAATGGTACTATATTGTAATATAATTCTAGGCTTAAATCAAGATTTATGATTTTAACTATTAGATAAAATTGTGAATAATTTGGTCAAAATTTAGTAGCAAATTAAAAATAATCAAACATGTAATATGAATTTTAAAAAACATATATTTTTATCAATTTAGTTTAATTAGGTTAATTGAAATAAATTTATTTAGCCAACTTTTTAAGGTTTAATTGGTATAAAATTATCTATATTCCATATAATAAACAATATTATCATATAAAATTTAGAAATGATTTGGTAAGAGAACATTTGAAATTAAAAATATAATTTGTTATTTTTTAATTTTGAATTAACAAAGAAAGATTTGATTTTTTTTCTATTATATTTTCCTATTAATTTCAAATATAAGAGATTTGTTAATAAATTATAAGCAATAAGATAAAAAAATTTGTTTAACATATCAAAAGTAAAAATTAAATCAAAATAGTAAACATCAAAAGATAAATGTAAATACAATTCAAAAAAAAGATAAAACAATAATAATTAATTTATGTTTAGCCATGCCTGGAATATAACTTTGTAAGTATATAATAAAGAAACTGAACAAATTGGATTAGAGTGAGAATACACCAAAAGTAGCCTACTAGCCTATGAAACTAATTAATAAAGGATATGTTAAATTATATGCAGCTTATCTTGAGGAAAAAATTATTGAATATGAGAGGATCAGAGCATTGAAAATATTTAATCTACTTAAATAGTTAAAAAGTTAGAAATTCAAAATGGTGAGATAACAAAAGCTATTATAATTACTAAAAACTAAATGGATGAGCTTACTTATTATACCTTTAATCTTAATAATCTTGAAATCTTCTTTAAGAACAAATTGTAGAATACAAATAGTAGTATACACAATAATAAAGTCAATAAGTATCAATTAAAAGATTAGCACAAATAATTTTAAGGTTATGAAAGATGATAATTCTTGTCATGGTCGGTAACACTTAAGTCTTGATTTTCTCAAGTCTACAAATAAAAAAAAAATTAAATCAAATGCATAAACCAATTAAGATTTCAAGAAACAAACATCACAATTGAAATTCATAAAATAATAGTGACAATCACTAAAATATACTAAAAAATACGGTAAAAAACATAAATAAGGGATTTAAGAATCCAAACTCATCACAAAATGAGAATTTTCTATTCAACTATTATGAAAAACTTTTCCATGTTTGATTTTGAAATTTGATTATGCCAAACTTTAATGATGAAAATTTAATTGCTCTATGTTTTATAAAAAAATAAAATATTGATTGTGAAAAGAAATTATATATATTATAATTATTTAATTTTAAATTTTTTTTAAAAAAATGTAGTTTATCCAAGTTTTATTTTAAATTAAAATAAAAAGAGGTTAATATAATTTTAAATTTAGATGTGTGTAATTTTAAATTAAAATAAAATATTTTTCTCTTTTATTTTAAATCATAGGAAAATAAAGGTAAAAAAATTTATAAACAATAGTGTTTCAATAGCAAATTTTATTTATTTAAAATTATGTGAATATTGATTAAAATGGTGTATGATTTTTTATGGTTTTTAAGATTTAAGGATTTAATCTTTAAAAACTATTTGAATTTTGTATTTTATATATATATATATATATATATATATAGGGGTAAGAGTGAGGTATGAGATTTTTTTTTTTTGGATTTAAATTAGGATAAAAATTAGGTATTTTGAAAGATTTAGATAAATCTACATTTTAAAATTTTTAAAAATTAAATAATTAATTAATAAAGTTATTTAAAACTATTTTAAGTGTCAATAATAGAGGTTGTTCATCTAAGAATCCATATAATTAAACTTTATCAGATTTTTATATATATTGTAACATTATATTATATATTATTATGATTACAATTATTCATAACGAGTTTTCATACATTAAAAAATATATAATTACTTCGTTGTTAATATTATCAAATATATTATTTTTAATATATTTAATTAAACAATAATTTAAATTATTGACATGTTTAATAATTTTCTTGATAAAAATAATATTAGAGAAAAATTTTGAAGATGTTAAAGAAAACTATTTGTTTAAAATTTTTTATTTTTTAATTTTTGAAACATCCATAAATATTCTATCTAAAACCATAGTTCCGCCTCTCAGCATAAACCAGTTCCTGTTATCAAAGTGTTATTTTATTAAAGGGTAAAATGATGTTTTTATGGTATATATTTTGAGAAAATTTTATCAAGCAAACGTCTTAATCATATTCATCTTTGGTTTCATTGTGAAAATCAAACTACGTAATTTTTTTTTTTTTTTCACCTACTCCTATAAAAATTTATTTCATTTTTTAAATTGGTTCAACCAATCAAACATTACCGTTAGTGATCGAGAAACAAAAATAAAAGAAGATTCCCATGAAAGGTTTTCGGAGGTCAAACTATTAGATCCACATGTTCCTATCTGTGGACATCAGATATTTTTTGTTATTTACTCTTTACTTTTTCTTTATAACCGGATTAGCTGAATTCAAGAAGCAAAGAATATATGCGAATCCCAAATTTGCCTCGTTTGGGTCGGCTCATTGAAGTTTCGCCTTTGAAACTGCACAGAAACAAAAGCGCCAGCCACACTGTACTTTCTACTGTAAATATATTCCGTTCATATCCACTTCTGCGTCTGCCACTTAAAATAATCAAAATAAATATAATAAAAATAAAGTAATTAATTATTTTTAGGCAGGCATCTAAACCAAAGAGAAATTTTTTTTTTTTTAAAAAAAACCTACCAGACCCTTAGCACACCGAGAAGGCGACACACCTTCTTCTATTTCCTCCCGATTTCCATAGCATTATCGAACTTTCTTCAATCCCTCTGTCTCTCTGGACCTTTCGCGTCTTTGTGCGTTGTTATTCAAAATCGAGTTTAGATCTGTTTATTAGTTCCATGAAATTCCGTGTTTGACGTTCTTCGTTGAATCTCCGAAACAGTTTTCCTACCCGTCAACGAATTAGGGTTCTGATTGGTTCTCCGTTTTGTCCGTCTTTTTGTTTTTCTCAAAATCGCATCTGCAAAAAAAAAAAAAAAAGAAGAAAAATCTTCTTAAACTTTTCATTTTTCAAATTTCCCTGATTTCGCTTGCGATTTATGTTCTAATCTAAATTTCATTACCTTATAATTTGCTAAATTGGTTTGATCCCCATTTCGGTGGCTTGAATTTGTATCGATTTTTGGGTTGAATCCAAGCTTGCGTGTTTCTGGTGTCGTTTTTGGGGTTTGTTAATTGCTAAAACCGATGGATACTCGGAGCCCTAACGGATCTTTGCGGCAGCAATCACAGCGTCCGAAGAATTATGGAATCACGAAACCAATATCCCTCGCCGGGCCTAGTGAGGCTGATATTCAACGGAATACGGAATTAGAGAAGGCAATACTAGTCTTTTCTTTTTTTAAGGATTTCATATTTTAATGATATTTAATTCACATTTTTTTATTTATTTCTGTAGTTTTTAATAGAGTTGGGGCTTTACGAGAGCAAAGAAGAAGCCGCGAAAAGAGAGGAGGTTCTTGGCCATATCGCAGCGGTAATTAATAAACAATTGAGTTTGCTTTGCTTATTGTCTTCCCATTTTCATGAAATGAAGAAAAATGTGAATAGTTGGTTGTACGTTGCGTTTTTGGGACTATTAGTTCATGTGAAGTTTATGTTTGACTTATGAATTGACTAAGCACCTAGTTGGCTAGCATGTTATGGTGATTGCTTGGTGATATCTTGAATTTTTATTACCTGTTTGGTATAGTTCTTATTAGAAAATTTCTGAAAGAGTAAACTAATTATGGAAGACTTATGCGCTTCAGAAGGCTTTAGCATGTTCATATGTCAGTAAAATGTTTGATCAAACCTAATTTTTTGGTGTGGTTCTAAAAAGTGAATTATTGTCTTTATAGATTGTAAAAAGTTGGGTAAAGCAATTAACTCGTAAAAGGGGCTACACCGATCAGATGGTGGAGGAAGCAAATGCTGTCATTTTCACTTTTGGATCTTACCGTTTAGGGGTAAGTATAAATTCCTAATTCCTTCATCATAACTGCTATTCCTTTATCTTACATTTATTTGCAATCATAGAAATTTGGTTTGAAATCTTGCATATCCATTTGTCCTGGTATGGCAGGATTCATGAATTTCATAAGAAAAAAGCCCAAGAATGTAAAATTCCCTAGGTTTACAATAGAAAAAGTAACCTTTATAAAATATCATCTGATACTTGGTTATTGAAGAAAACCTAGCAATGATACTTTGGATTGTTTGTGCTTTTTATTTTTGGTAAAAATTATTAATTCTCTTGGTGGGCATGTGCTCTGTCTGCTACTCTGCCAATTGCTATTGATGTTCATTCTGTTTAGTTTTTCATTTTTTTTGTCTGTCTTGCTAGTAAATTAAATCTTTGATATTCGGATGATAAACAACAAGTCACTATTTTGACAGGTGCACGGACCTGCAGCTGACATAGACACTTTGTGTGTTGGGCCATCCTATGTGAACCGAGAGGTGTCTTTAATCTGGCTAATCCCTTTGTTTACCTTCAATGAAGTGGGTGGTCATTTAGTTTGGGTTTTAGTAATGTTTAATTTGAATTTCGCCAGGAAGATTTCTTCATCATTTTGCATGATATTTTGGCTGAAATGAAAGAAGTCACTGAACTTCAACCAGTTCCAGATGCGCACGTCCCAGTAATGAAATTTAAGTTCCAAGGAATATCAATTGATCTTCTTTATGCAAGTATATCTCTTTTGGTTGTTCCTGATGTAAGTTTGTAACCCCTTTGATGATTTTTTGGATCTAACACTCTTGTCGACTCTACTGCATCACTTAAGTGAAGGCCAAGAATGATTTCCTTTACATAGTGCAGGATGTTGCAAGCTATCCTACGATAAAGATATCTTTCTGCCTCTCCTTCTTTCTTTTCTTGTTTTTCTAGACCTTATAGCATTTTTGTTTTGTAATAACTAATTACGTCTTTTAAGCATAGGGTGGTTTGCAAATCTGGTAGTCTTTTGTTTAAAATATCTCATTATCCTTATTAAGTAATAGTCAAAATCATCTTCAGCTCTGAGTTGTTGCAACTCATAGATACATCCTAATATATGAGTTTTTTCAGCAGTGCCTTAAATTAGGTTTTTCGTGAATAGTTTCAATAAGCAAAAGCAACTTCCGGGATTTTACAAAAAACAAATTAACAAAAAGGCATATTTAGATGATATTGTAAGTTGGGGGTTCAAAATGAATTTTACCATGTGTTGGAGGGGTCTGGGAATATTTTAACTGAATTTCTGGTTGAGACTTGGGATATCACCTTTGCTGAAGGGACTTACTAATATAGAACTTTCATAATGTTCCATTACATAGTTTGTTGCAAAGAGTTCCTATGGTGTAATCTGTATATTATAAAACCGTAAAATTTGCACTGTGCTATCTGGTTCCTATTTATATATATATATATATATATGTATATATATATGTATGTTGCTATGTTCCTATGCTGCTATGTTGGTATCTAGTTTGATATCTATGTTCTTTTTGAACTAATCAACAGGACCTTGACATCTCACATGGGTCTGTGCTGCATGATGTTGATGAGCAAACTGTTCGAAGTCTTAATGGGTGCAGGGTTGCTGATCAAATCCTTAAACTTGTTCCAAATGTTGAGGTGAATATTTTGTATGCCTACCCACCACTTGTTTTATTTATTTATTTCTCATTTTGGAGTCTTCTAATCCATTACATAATTGTAGAACTTCCGCATGACGCTTAGATGTTTGAAATTCTGGGCTAAAAGACGTGGCGTTTATTCCAATGTAAGATTATTATCTACTGGTTTCTTTTTCATCAGCTTCTTTGCTTTCATATTATGTTCTTAATTTTCTGTTTTTACTTGTTTATAGGTTACTGGATTCCTAGGAGGTGTAAATTGGGCTCTTCTAGTTGCACGTGTGTGTCAGCTTTATCCCAACGCAATACCTAGTATGCTGGTTTCTCGATTTTTTAGAGTATATACTCAGTGGAGGTGGCCAAATCCTGTTATGTTGTGTTCAATAGAAGAGGATGAACTTGGCTTTCCTGTCTGGGATCCTCGAAAGAATCCTCGGGACCGGTTTCATCATATGCCAATAATAACTCCTGCATACCCTTGCATGAATTCCAGTTACAATGTCTCTATAAGCACTCTTCGTGTTATGATGGAACAATTCCAATGTGGTAATAAAATATGTGAGGTGAGATAACATAAGGTTATTTTTATTAAGATCTAGGCCTACTTTGAGTTTGAAGTATTGATGACTTATCTTAGTAATTTTGTCTTCATGTAGGAGATTGAGCTAAACAAAGCTCAATGGAATGCTTTGTTTGATTCTTATCTTTTCTTTGAGGCATACAAAAACTACCTACAAGTTGACATAGTTTCAGCAGATGCAGATGATTTGCTGGCATGGAAAGGCTGGGTGGAGTCACGTCTTAGACAGCTTACCTTGAAGGTAAACTTTAACTTCTCCATTGAAGGTGTATCTATTAAGCTTTGAGCCACTTTTGCTTATTTTATCATTATGATGACTTTTAAGATGATAGTTCTGTACATTGAATATTTTCCTCTTTCTCATGGTTTCCATGTCACTCTGCAGATAGAGCGGGACACAAATGGAATGTTGCAGTGTCATCCTTATCCTAATGAGTATGTAGATGCATCCAAGCAATTCCCACATTGTGCTTTCTTCATGGGCTTGCAGAGGAAAGAGGGAGTGAGTGGTCAAGAAAGTCAACAATTTGACATACGGGGAACAGTTGATGAGTTCAGACAAGAGATAAGCATGTCCATGTATTGGAAACCAGGAATGGATATTTATGTTTCTCATGTTCGTAGGAGGCAGCTCCCTGCCTTTATTTTCCCTGATGGGTATAGACGACCTCGATCATCAAGGCATCCAAGCCAGCCTACTGGAAAAACTTGTGAAGGTGTCACAAGGTCCCACTCAGGGTCTGCAGAAAGACCAATCAAGAGAAAACATGATGAGACAGTGGATGAAAAACCGGACAAACCTGAGAAACGGGCCTTTATTAGCCCCCAGAGGCTAGAGTCTGGTTCTCCAGAAAGTAGTACAAGTAGGTCTGGTGGAACATCTTATATCAGCAATGGTCAAGCAGTTAAACTAGAGCGTCTGAGAACTGGGGATGTTGATAACAATTCTATTGAGAGGCTGTCTAGTTGGCCGTTAGACGGTGAAAAAAGGAATGTGGAGATTAATTTTCAGCAGGCTAGAACTGTTGATCGAGGGTCCGTCTCCACATGTGGGCAGACTTCTTTAGATATAGATAATTTGTCAGTAGTTAGAAATGTAGAGTCAGCTGAACAGATAGGCGAACCTGCTCTTAGGCAGGAGTTGCTTTCTCCATGTGAAGTTCCTGATTCCAAAATAAGGGAAACATGCAAGACTGGCTTGAATCAAGAGAAAACTGGCGATTTGGCTTCAGCTTACATTAATGAGCCAGATACTGGATCTTCTAGGAGAATTTTAAACTGGAAAGGTGGTGTTGGTGTCGATCAAGAGGTGGTCAAACCATGTAATCAAACAGCAGTAGTAGAAATTGCTGAAAGTGTATTTGGGTCAAGTTCCAATGTGCAGAACCTCAATTGCGAGGTGAATTTCTTTGTTTGAGGTATTTGGGTTAAAGATTGTAGCGGATGACAGTGAGAATACTGGAAGTTCTGGAGATAGTGAGAGCCAGAGATCTTTGCAGGGTGGTGTCTGCAGAGCAAATTTCGATTCAGTTCTGGAAAATGGACATCTGAATGCAAGTGGTGTTTTCCAAAACAGCTTGTCTGAAGAATTAAAGGTTTTGAATCCAACTTTTCGACATAAATTACTTAATTTATTTTTTATCTTCTACTTTATATTAGCTGGTTCTCTTACTGTTTTGTTCTCTATTTAGGTTACCTTTTTTTTTTTTTGTTTTATTTTTTATATATTTGGGTCATTGTAGATGCCAATCCTGGTTTTTGCTTTTTTTTTTTTCTTGAGAAATGAGGTTTTGAGCACAAAAATGGTAATGTTCTAATTTTTATGGTGCGGGGACAATTTTTGTGTCAGATGACTTTGAGAATCTTATGACTTTCTTATGTTATTTTTTTAGGAACTCTTTCAGCATTTTTCATGCAACCATTGCATTTTTGTCTAGTGGTGTCTTACCTAATTCTTTTATCATTTTAGTTCTTTGCCCAGCCAATCTCCTAACTGGTGCGAATGTGGTGGCAGGTCCTGCACCACCATCATACTTGCTATATTTCCAGTAACTGTGCTTAAGACCCTGACTTTGTTTTCTGTAAGGCTCAGATACATGACCCTTCCTTTGATTTCATATGTTTTTCGACAAATTTTGGGGACCTAACTTGCCTTTTTACCCTTATTTTGTTGTATAGCCAAAGATCGCAGTTGGTAAGGTTGTAAATTCTCAAGATGGAGCTAGGTCAGAAACTTTCAGAAGCCAGTGATGAGGCATGTGTTTTTGGAACTTCTGTTCTGTTTATGCAAATTATGATCTCTTTATGCCCTTTTTTTTTATTATTTTAGCAGGTCAAGTCTGAACCCAACATCATAATGTGTTGTAGATGATACATTTGGAGAATCTTTGTACCAAAGGAGTAAGGCCAGCTCCTCGGTAAGTATCCCATTAAATGCTGGCTTACAGTATGGTTTTACAGGTATACTGAGTGCGACTGGAGTAGCAACATATTTGGCGACGAAAGGGAGAGCTGGGTTGTTTGGCTTATACTTTTGGTGTGATTTGCTGTGTGGCTTTAGCTTGGAGGATCCAAGAAGCTATAACAGTGCTGGTGCTTTGAAGACTTCTATCTCATTTTTTGCCACTAGAGTGTTGTGGTGTGCTTCTTGACTCGATTTATGAATGAATCATTCTTCATCGAAAATTGTAAATCAAACGGGGGTGTTGCTGTTTCATCTAGATTTTTTGTTACCTCGTGTAATCCTTTATACACTTGTAATACGTTTCATCAATGCTTTCTAGTTGGTCAACTCATCTCTCTCTCTCTTGTAGGAACGCTCGGGCACACATGCCGATAGATGTGTGCTGACTTTTCACTTTCTAGATACCTTTTGTTCCTGTCCTTCGTTGATACGGTAACCTAATGTCACGTGTTTTAACGCTTGAGTTTGAACTAGGATTTTGGCAGAATAATTTGAGCTAATACTGAGAATGTAGCCATGTAGGTAATCTTTATCACTAGTGCTAGTGGAGTTGGGGATACTGGAAACTCTAAGTTTGGAAAAAGAGATTGATTGGAAACGAGAGAATCTAATGCCAAAGTATGTGCAATTAGGCTACAAGGTATGCTTTGTCTGTTGATCCCTTGTTAATTTCAAAAGTGTAGAAATAGCCAGCCTAGATGGCTCGTCAGTCGCCACTGGGAATCCCGTCGACATGCACATGGTTGTGCATGCAGAACTGGCTTTTTGCTCCCCGGCGACACCACAGCTATGTTAAATCATACATTTTGTAAATTATGCTGTCATATTCCTCTTAATCGTTTCCTACTGCTCTTGTAATTGGATAGATAAGTGGCAATGGCACTGCAAACAAGTGGAGTTATGTCAAAGTCGCTTCCCACTTTGTAGGCTTCATGACCTTTCTGAGGGCAACAGCAGCGAAGGACGCGCAAAACTTCCTTCGCTGAAGGCGTGGCATAGGGCGATGCAGATGCACTTGTACGGACGATTCCTACCTTGTAAAACCTTTATCCTGGTAAAAGAGGAGTTTTCAAGTTTTTTTTTTTTAACACTTCAAGTTTTAATCATTAAGAACAACCGTATTTTTAAGGAAAATGAAATCTTATTTAATCAGAATTATTTTAATATCTTTTAGAATTTATTGTATCATTTTATTTATTATCTTAGAATATTCATTTATTTATAATTTAAAATTATTTATTAAATAATAATTATTATTTATATTTATTATATTGCTTAGAGTTTAACTAGCATTTATAAGATCAACTCTAGGTGGGGGGTTACATAAGCCAATACCTTCTTCTCCAAGCTGTTTACAATCTTACAATCTTCAAATTTTCAAACTTTGAGATTGTAAAGATTACATATAAGGATTACATAACTTGTTTGTTGTTATTGTAGACCTGGCTTGCAATTCCAAATATTTGTTTGCTATTGTTGATAGATAATATTTGAAAATTTTAATTTTAAACATATGTTACGGATTGTGAACATTATTATTATTATATTTGTGAATTATGAAGTTATGATTTTATTTTTATTTATGTTAAGGTTATATTATTAATAAAAATATTTTTTAATTTAAAAAGATACAAATAAGTTAATAGTCACATTAATTATGTATAATCGTATTGTGTTGTGTTAAACAGATTAATTATAAATGTATTAATCTTGGTGTATCACATAAAATATATAATAAACATGTTATATTTAAGATTTTAACACATTTAATAATTCATTTCGTGTTTATGTTTCGATTATTCATTTTGAGTTTAACATAAGATGTGAATACAAAAATTACTAGGTTTAGTTTACAGTTGCAATGACGATGGAACAGTATACTGGCTTGAACATCTAGGTATTAACAAAAAAGAGAAGGACTTGACAACTATGTGACCGTAATCACATCTTTTTCAAGTTTTGGGCTAATATTTAAACTTGAAGGGCTTAGCTGTTTGGAAGGCATGACTCAACCCTTGAATGGCGCCAGCTGCAGCAGCCAGTGAGACAAGCAAGCATACCAAGTTCAAAAGCTGGAGGCCGAGCCACCTAATTGTTCCTTGTTTGATCTTCTTTTGGGCAATGTGCATTTCTACAGGGAAATAGACTGTCATTGGCCAGTAACCGATGGCTCCAAGGAGTGCAATTATGTCATTAAAGAAAGGCAATGCCATGGCAACGAGTGTTGCCACCACCACAAATAATGTTCTCCAAGTTAGCCTTAATAAGTTGACACCCAACCTTTTGCTCGAAATGCTGATTGGGTACTCTTCTGTTACAAAAGATGATTCAGGCCAACGCGAGCTAATCCATGATTCAACCACCTTAAATACTGGTTGAGCTACTACCTGTCCAAATTCCATGCTAAGACGTATTAATATTAGTATCCATGCAAATGAAAAATCCTCAACTGGGATTTTTATACGCATGGAACGAAAATAAACCTGATATGCTCCCACAAGGTGTACCACAATGAAGACATTGGCTAAATCAACCACCCAAAACGGCTCGTAAAATACAAACCCTGTCAACATGTTACCTGGTGCATGGTTCCCAAACGCAGCATAGCCAAGGCAACAACATAACAAGTATAAAGTGGTTGATGTAAACATCCCTATCATGTTAGCTTTCTTCATTTCCTTATTTTCAGGCGGTGATGACTTCAAAGTATCCTGAAAGTTCACAGAAAGATAAAATAATATGCTGGTCAGATACATTAACTTGTTTACTCATATATAAAGCCATAGTCAAAGATTTTGATCATATTTCTTACTTGGATTTCAATCAAAATGCTAGAATATGCACAAGCAAATGCCATATTACCAGCTGCTGTAAACATTCTCAAAACCCTGTCTGCTACGGTTGAGTCTATCCGAACTCCTACTCCAGGTAGAGTGGTTCTTGCTCCGTTTCCTGTACTTATTGTAGCCTTTTTTTCAGTAATTGAAAATGCTATTTCTGCATTGATTAATTACTTAAACTAGAATTGAATAAGATCATGATTGTCATTTTGGACTTATACACGATATAAAATGCATAAAAACTACTACCAGAAAGTTTAGCAAGTATGGGACATAAAAATATAAATATTTACCGACGGATGGTCAGACTCAAATGATAAAGAGAGTATCTTCCTTTTATTGTTATCTTACCTGAGTTTAAATCTGTTAAGAGTTTGTAAAAAAGTAATTTTTCATGAATTCACTAGGTACTATGTAGATAAGCTTGCTTGAACCGGATCGGAGAAGGATTTATTGGACAAATTTCAAAAATCCCTTACTACTAAATAAAAAATAAATATTTGACATAATTGTATTACCTGAAATAATCTTTGCAAAAGCGAGTCCCATTCCGGTAAACGCATACCCAAAGGACATAATTGCTGCAATGATGGAAAGCCATGACAACTTGTGGAAGTTTGGAATTTGAGACACGAAAATTTCAACAATTCCTAGAGCAATCATGTATGGATTATTGGAGAACTCGCATGGATCCTCATGACCATTCTTGCGAAAACAATTTGATTTGCGTATTGCTCTGGAAATCAGGCATTGTTATCGGCATAAATTTGTAGTGTAAATGTTATATACAACTAACTTATAAACTTTATTGATTTGTAATATATTAAACCATAGCTTACACCATGCTAATTGATGCTGTAATGGTATAACCAACTAACATGCCACTGAGGAAGGTGTATTGGAGAAAGCCACAGGCATTGTACTTGATTCCACCTAGCGTAATTGATGATAAAAACAAAGTTAAATTTTTGTGACACGAGTTCTTTAATTAAAGGTTTAAGATTCTGAAATTAAATGTACAATGTCTAAAAATTACCGAGGTTGGTTTTGACAGCCTCCATGTAGGAGTAATTTCTCTTTCCATAGTTTGAGTTTGAAGACCTGTAACAATCTGCTAAGAGACTGGAGGTGTAATATGCGATGCATGAGAATAGTAAGAGAGTGCCAACCCCAGCGATCCATCCTAGCTGCGCCATAGCCCAGCTCAGGGAGAGAACACCCGAACCTATGACCGCTGTTATTATATGTGCACTTGCGGTCCATACTGTCCCTGCACATCATATTTTACATGAATGGTCAAGTAGCAATCATTTCTGGTACGGAAAACATATATGTGCCCGAGCCAAGAAAATTTCAGGCTCTGTTTGCTGGTTTTCCAAATTGCTTGCATATATCTTCACAATTGTTCTGCTGTTCTTGTCAAGATTTTCTCTTGTGAGTATCTCCAATGCTTTCCGATTGGATGGGTAGATTTAATTAATTACTATTTTGATACTTGAATTTAAAAAAATATATACAAATTGATACTTAAAAAAATAAAATGTATAATTTACATCTCATATATGTATTATATTAATTCAAACTTTAATCTTATAACCATATGAATTTATATATATAACATTTCACATATATTATTAAGTTATGTGTTCATCACACTTATTATCAACAATTTTTTTTAATATAAATTAAAAATATATATTTTACTTGAACCGTAAAAAATTATCCCGAATTGATCAATAATTTTTTGTCATGTGATGTCAACACAAAGCTTTTTACAAAATATCTAAGACTTTTATATAACAAATAATATATATGTATATAACAAAATTATATTAATTAAAAATCATATAATCGAGTTAAGTTAATAATATTAAAAATTAAATTAAAATGATATATTATTTAAAAGTGTAAGATAAAAATTATATATTTTATTTTTTAAGATATCAATTTATACATATTTTTTAAAGTTTAAATATAAAAAATGTAATTAACTCTAATTCATTATGGTTCGTCTCAGCCTCTTAGGGGATTGGTCTTGAGAGAATAACCACGGCAATTATGACAAACACAGCTTTATTCCCTCCGATCGATTCAATGGGATCATTTCTCATGGATGGAAAGAGGATATATGCGCACAAGAATCGAAATACTGCAGTGCACTTAGGAAGCTAGTGAAAAAAGGCTGTTGGAAATGTGGTTGCAACTAGTAGTCTAGTGCTTCCTTCCAGCAAACGACAGAGGACAAATAAGAACCCATCGAATCGATTATGAACGGTAAAATTTTAATGAAATAATAATGATGCCTAAAAAATTTACATTCACATCTACTTGTTCTGCTTTTAACAGTCGTCAGATGGTTATGAAATTATTGAAATGTACGTGGGTATTCATGAGATTCAGGAAGGAGTTGAAGTTTATGTGCGTGAGAGAGAGAAAGAGCACCTGTTCTTCTTGGTTTTCCATCATCATCAAACTCACCATCTCCAGCTTTGTCACCATCCAAACCAGTTTCACATATCTCATGCTGAATTTCTTGATCTAGAACACTGATCTGCATCTTCTTAATTTCTCTCTACGACTCTACTTTAACATTGCTTTTTCAACTTGTGTAAGAGAATTTTGGACTATTCAAGAAAAACATGAAGCCAAGATAGTTACTACAAGATACTTACTGTACAAGTTGGTTTAATTCCAATCGTGAGAGCCTAATAAAATGGCGTTTCTTTGTTTGATAGGTGGATGCAGAGGTATTTGCCACTGAGATCAAGGGAGCAAAGGCTAACATACAAAGAGAAAGCAAAACAAAACACTCCTAAATAGAAAAGATCACCTAATCTCCTATTTATGCTCATCTTACTCTTTGAGAAGCAATGGCCTCGAACATGCTAACGATGTCGTGCTGTTAATGTCTTAACATAAGGCAGAAAGTTAGTATACCAAATGGTTACTTCACTTTAGTATATATTATTTTTATTCAAATTATGTCTTATAATTATATTATTAAAAAATATTAATTATTTATTACATATTACATGTGATAACTAAATAATAAATATTTATTTTAATAAATTATTAATTATTTTAGTAATAAATGAATAATTTTTAATAATATAATTATGTGACGTGATTTAAATAAAAAAAAAAAAAAGGTTTGTGTTAAAAAACGATTTCATATAATCTTGGGATAACAGGACAAAACCGTTTCCTTTGGAAACTCGTATTGCCTATCATCTTTATTTAGAACAAATCCTAAAAGAGTGTTCATATATACCTTAGAATATATCCTGTTAGCTTTTTACATTTTCAATCAACGTCAAATCTCAAAGGACTTCTTTTTGTTGCATATGCCCCGAAGCTGCTTTAATTTTGCCCAAGTGGAGAATTACAGTTGCCGATGCGATGCTTTGTTTGTAGTCAAGGGAAACCGGATAAAACTTATTGCCTCCATTTTGAGGGGTTTTTCTTCTCATTTTTCCCCTACTCCTTGCTGTATACTTCAAGGCATATTGAATCATATGTTCTGCTGGGTCATGTCGCACATGTAAACGTTGCTTTAGCTAAAAATTAAGGTGGCATTTTTCATATTTGCAAGGTTGTCTCTCTACTTTCTCGTTGCTCATTTTCTGCAAGCAAGAAGCATTAAAATTTTTTATTTTCTTGTACAATTAAGAAAAGCCAAGTAAAAAGAAAAAAAAGAAAACCAGCTAACCAAGAAAATGCAAAGCAGCATACGCAGCACCTCATAGGCCCACGGGCTCATAGCCAACCGGATGACCCAAAGATATGTTTCATAGGAGAAATTGGGCCCAGGGAGGCCCAATACCCACAGAAGATTCGGCTTGGGAACCCGCCACGGGTGGCCTGCCGTTACAGTGTTACTCCAAGACATCGCACGATTATACAAACGCGTCTGAGACCTTATCCTGAGTCACTAACTTAATGATTTCATTTTGCATAAGAATAGGAAGGGGAAGGAAATCTTTTATTTTGTATAAGAATAGGAAGGGGAAGGAAATCTTATTTCGAAAACAAAATCTGGTTGTTCTCTTAAAAGCTCTTTCATCATTAGGTCAAGGAGTTAAGGACATAATAAAACATCTTTGGCTTCTCACAAGTGCCGATTCATATCCACAATTGTGAATGTACATTCAATGACATAAAACATATTCTCAAAAACACTCCATACCAGACACCTAACTAAATGCTTTTAAGACTGCGTTAAACAATAGAACCAAAAATGACTAGAACAATAACAACATGCCAATATAAAACCGAGTATATTATATTTCTGTATGAAATGCAATGATACTGCCTAATGTTTAAACAAGCACCTTGCATAAAGAAGTAAAATTCTAGCATAACCTCTGAAAAGCTAGAGATCCAATTGATTGAAGAGAAACAGCTATACATACATGAAGGTTTAAATGGGGAAAGAAGAATAAATCAGAAAATAACTACTATTGCTTCAATGTAATTTATAAAGTGCACGCTGAATAAGTTCAAACACTTCAAAGTGCTCCCCCCCCCCCAAAAAAAAAGAAAGAAGTTTGGGCTCTGCTGCTAACGGTGACAAAATGGCTAGCGACCACTTCATTTGTATTCAAATGATGGCACGGGAGGAGCATCAAAGCCCTCCAAAACCTCTGTCTTACTTCCACTGCCTGTTGCTGATTCCTGCTTCTTTCCACCACCAAAAAGGCCTCCAAACCATGAAGAGGAAGAATTAGATGAGGAAGCCGATGATGAGGTTGATGAAGGTGAGCCGTGTCTCGAACCGTCAACTGATACAGGGGCTTGGTTTGGCAATTGCCCCATTGGAAATCCAGGCATACCAGCTACATTCGGTGCTGGCTCTTCAATCATCATAGGCATCTGTGGCTGACTGAGAAATTTATTCAACATGATCCCAGCTCCTTCAATCAAAGCAAGCAAAACCCCACCAAACAATGCTGATCTGGAAGCAGCACCAAGTCCTTGTCGCATTGAAAGAAACCCTCCAGTGGCAGCACCGGCTATAATTGAGTTCCACGGATCTTCTTTCTGTCGGACGTACACCATAGTGCAATCAAAAGTGGAAAAAAGGCCACCCCAAACAGCAAAACTACCACCAACACGAGGGGCATTCATACGCATTGCTTGAGTTCCTCCATTCAACCTAGCACCACTAGGGGAGTTATACGTGCCTTTCAAGAAGTGGAACAATGCACCTCCAACAGCTCCCATACCAAAAGCACCACCAATATCATCAAGAATTCGATCGGGGCATGGCTCTCGAGAAGTTTCTGGGGTACCCATGGTTCACAAAGATAGTGTCTTTTCTATTAAAAACACCCCCAAGTTTCAAAATTCCCTACAAAAATTCACCCGTAAAAAACAAAAAAGCTCAAAATTCCACAAACAACAAGAATTATTCCAAAAAACAAATTAAAAGCATTAGAGCAAAAAATTTCAACGAACTGTTAATCAGTTTGATTGCAACAAACTTACGTTATTTACCAACTTCAATGACCCAAAAAACCACGTAAAACCAACATAGGAAGACATAAAAACTTAATAAATGCAAAAATTTGTGAGAGACAGATATACATGCATGTTTTTGGGACACTCTTCTTTTTCTTTTCTAAGAACACCACTCACCAGCTAATTTCAAGTTATATAAATTTTTTTTCAAAGAAAACAATCACAACAGCGATCCAAGCTAAAAGCCCATGAAAAAAAAAAATAAGAACAGAATAAAACGCCAGAAAAACGTCATTTTTCAGATGGATAACAATCAGTCCATACGTAACCCGGAAATATTTGGGAAAAAGAAAAGAAGTAACTATAATGTTTTGCATAAATGAAATTATCGAATTTTCTTTTACCTCGGTGGCGATCTGCGAGAAAACTTGAGGTCTTGAGCGAAAAGAGGGACCTTTTGCACAAATTTTAATTATTTATAAAACAAGTAGAGAGGAAAAGAAAATATCAGTGAACCCTAGAAGGCCGGAAGCTTTGGGAAGGCAAAGGGATTTTTCCTTTCGGAATTGGGTTCTCTCTATCCATGTTATAGAAACAGGCTGCGCCAATTGAAGGCCTTTGTTTTTGGGCTTTTATGTCGGTCCTCTTTATAGGCTTATCGTAATTTTATTAAAAGATTATTAAGAATAAAAAATGCATTTAACCTTTTCTCAAAATATAATATTATTATATATATATTACTTACATACATTATTATATAACATAAATTTAGTTCATTAAATTGATGGCTTTTTCTTATTTATTCATCCATTCAACAATTACTATAATACTTGTAATTGGGGCATCAAAAGATTGTGAAAATAAATCCATATCTTTCAAAAATTATTCGACTTATTGATAAAATATTGAATTTTTAATTTTAATAATTATGATTGAGATAGTTTCAAGTTAAAAAATAAGCTCATATATTTTACATGTCAATTCCAGAACCTTTCAATCTGAGAGAAATTGATGGTGTCAACTACCTTATTTCCTTTTGCTTCTTTTACTGATGCAAGTGATCACCAGTGAATTCCATCCAAATCTTTTACTCTTAAATTTCAGAAATGGTTTTATCATAAACATTTATAGCAACAATATTTATAAGAAATGAAAAAGAATTTGGATTATTTTCCCTTATTTTTTTCTTTAGCATTCTTTACTTTGTTCTCTTTAGGGTTGGACTTTGGTTAGTTTGAATCAATTCCTTTCTCAATCATCAGGAAACATTGATACTCTTTTCATTTCAGAAAAGAAAAAAAAAATTATAAACATCGTAAGACCAAATCTAAGTCAAACAACAAGCATTTAAAGAGATCATCAAGTCCTATCAAGTTTCATTTCCAAAAATACCTAGTTGACCTCTAAAAGAGCAAAAAGAACGAGGAACATAAAGTGGAAATACAAGTACATCTCAGGCAATCCAGCACAAACTTATTCTATGAATATCATCGCTCAGAACTCAGAAGAACCGTTCAAATGATATACCAACTTTTCATGAAACGATTGCAAATGATAGATTTGAAGTTTTGAACCCAAATTTGAACTTTGTGCCACCACAACTTCTCCACTTGAAGATTAGAAAACTCCCCACTCAAAAGTCCTCTTCATATATGGAATGCAGGATCAGGTGGTGTCCTTTCTTTCTCATTGCTACCAACTGAAAGCAGCAAATTCCCCAAAGTTCTTAGAAAGTCGGCTAACAGAAATAGATAATTGTCACTTTTGTAACTATTAATGAAAAAAAGGTACAACTTACTTCGTAGAGTTGAAAGTGCAGAACTCTTTAATACATGCAGCCTCTTTGCAGTAGAAACAAACATGCTGCCAAAAGGTGAACTCCAGGATCAAGATTATTGCGACAAAAAACAAGATCAATTGTCATAAAAGGAAATCAAGAATTTATAATTTGATTCAACGAGTATGGCAAGTTTAAGTAAAGGTAGCTTCAACAATCATTGATAGCATATCATACTTAAAGCTGTTTTTTTTTTTTTAAATACTGAATTACAGATTGTATGCCAGCAAGTTTTCATCCTGAAAAAAAGTTGTTTTTGCACTTGGAAGGCAGTTGAAAATTTCATTTGTAAGAATTTAATTTGTGTAAGCTGATGCTATAATCTAAAGAGTAATAAAGAGAAAAATGCTTACTGCCATGGGACATCCCCAACAAGCATCCTGTCTCCTTCATCATCTTCATAAATTAAAGTATATTCCCCACTTCCAGCAAATGAATCTGCATCTGCTTTTGTTAATTCCTCAATCTTGTTTTCGTTTTGGGTGGCAGAAGAATCTTTTTGAGCTAGATATGATTGTAACAAGCCGGTCAGCTTAAACTAACATAATGTAAGATATTAAGAAAAAGTGAGCAAATAATGAAGTGGAACATTTAGTATATATTATCAGGTTTGTAGACAACCTGCAAGCAGACCACTGAATAGCTCATCTATAGCAAGTGAGAGTTCCTCATAGCTATTATAGGCGCTAAGATTCACTTTCCTTCCAATAGGGATTCCTTCCATGTTGATCTTTATGAACAACTGAGTATTGGAATTTTCTGGTTTTCCTCCATTGTCCTTTTCATTTGGTGAGTCAGAAGCTGGTTTGGACAAGCTGTTGCTTGCAAGATTTTTCCTGAATGACCGAATTGGAGGCCACCCAACAACTGGGGAATATCTGCTACATTTTAAGGCAGTAAGAGGAGCAGATAAGAAAAATGATCTAGCTTCTGTGGCAAGGGGCTTAGCAATACAATTTTATAACAAAAAAAGTTTGACTGCATCTATTACCATTCAAAACAAACCACAGAAACAACTTTCCCTTCCCAGGCATGCTTCAATCAAAACATGCTCATCCACTTGAACAAATCGTTGGTGCCATTTTGTGGAAAGTTATTGACATTTAAATAGGTTCTCATTTTCACTAAGAAAATACAGTTTTCTTTTAACCTTATTTAAAGATCAGAATAATATTCTCTAGCTTTTTGTTATGAACTAAATTGTAAAATGACCCGTCTTAAATGTTAACAAATGAAAGCATATTTTCACTAATGCAAGCAAAGTATCAAAAGTTAAAGCATAACGACCTTTTATTTGAGGTATTGTTTGTAGTGGTATCTGCATCAGCAGTAGCAAGACTAGAACATGCCTTCCTACCAGGAAACTGAAGCTCAGCCATCCTAGAGCTACATGGCTGTGAAAAGTCCTCGGTCATGACAGCAAGCATCTTGGAGATTGGTGAGTTTTGGACAAATGAAGCCTTTGAATGTTGTGACTCATTCTTGGTGTCTGTCTGAAAGGCAGAATATGGCGTAGAGCCAGAGAACCATGGAGTTTTAGTACAATTCACTGTATCACCTGTTTTCTCAATACATGAAATCTTTTGGCATTGATTTTCACTAGTATCTCTCGATCGGTCTTTCCCTCCTCTTTTTGTTTCTGCTGTGTGTTGGAAAGCTCTCTTTGTTCCATGAGTTGTCTTGTTGTTGTAGCCAAGGAATTCTCCTGGAGGACCAAGCCTCAACTCCAACTTTCTGTCCTGTGAGACTTTATGAATTACAAGCCATTCATTGCTCATAGGATTTAGATTCAGCAACTGAGGATATTCCTCCATCTTATTCAGCCACCGTACGAAGGGAAAATGAAAGAGATCCTGGCTGGTTGCACAAAGAAACTATATTTTGGTTCTTAGAAAACAAGCTTAGTTCACTGGAGGCAAAGGGTATAGAACTTCAATCAACATGCTTACTGGAATCAAGTGGATAAGTGAACTGCAGGAAAACAAAATGATTGCAAAAAGGAAATAGGATTAGTAAAAGCAGAAGCCCATAGAATGTTTTTAGTTATGCCTACTTGTGTCTACCTAAAGGCTAAAGCAATCTACAAAACAACAGCCACCTAAAAAATCTAGTTACTTCCAGCCTACATATGAATTTTGCTGCTTTCCAAGTAAAAGGACAACAAGACAAATCTAGCAACCACAACTAAACCAAATACTCTGAAAAAACTTGGTGATATATGGCAAGCTTGTGGGGAAAATATAGCTAACTGGCTCTTTGACTTCTTTCAAGTTTTCCCTTCAAGTTTCCTCTTGAGACTGAGCATAGACAGGCAATAAGAAACTGCAGCAGAGAGATTTCTTTCCCTCCACAAAACTAGAAATGGAAAATAGAAAATGAGACACGCAACAGCTTGCACATAATAGAATTAGTGGTAATGAACTTTGATGCATAAGCTAGACAAGACAACGCTGTTGTTCTTCTTTTGTCAAGAAGCAAATGCTAGCCTTGACACTTATGATGTTTATCCTAGGCTTTGGCACATGATAAGGACAGCATTGTTGTTCTTTTCCATTGATAATGCAAACTTGATACATACATTTATACGTTCGAGTATATACATAAAAATTAAACAGAATATCCTCTAACATTTTTCAATTTTCATCTGCTGTATTAAGCTGATTGCTGGTTTTTTTCTTTTTTGTATAAAACTATGGATATACTTCTCTTTTCTGGGTATAAAAGAGGCAATAAACCTTGTTTAAAACAGGGAAAAGCCCTGTCTCCTATTTATATTCTCCACATTAATACCTCTTATCCTAATACTATACTGATTTATGAATTTTGGAAAGGTGTCTGTCTAGTTAGCTGGTCTATAATCATTGGCAATCGCATCCGAGAAAGAGTAAAGTGTGATAATCAAATGCTTTCCACGGTATAGGACTAGGATTCATCCGAATGAAGAAAGGAAAAAACCATGTGCTGTATCCATATCTCTTGTCAACCTTTCACTACAATTTGTCCACTAGGAAGTAAACTGAGTCAACTTCTCCCACATTGTTGAACTGAAAACTACAAATCTTCCGATTATAGGTGCTGATTTTAAAAGAGAACTCAAAGTGAGAATTATATTTTTACAATGCCTCGGTTGCACTCATTATTAAATTGTGGACTCAAACTCTTTCAGGCATGCTTTCTGCAATCGGCGTATCATGGATGGGTGGAGAAGCCTAGCTACCTTTGCTGTGATGGGTTTAGCATTTCGGACAACTAGGTTATTTTGAAGTTGGTATATATTTTTTCTTCTTTGCAAAGTAGGCAATGGAAATGTTCAATGAATATTGGGAAAAAGGAAAAACTAAAGTCTTGGTCATCATTATTAGCAGAACAACTAACCCTTTTGTGCTCATCATCTGTAATGGTGGTGGAGCCATAACATCCCACTTACTAAGATATGATCGGTCACTGCCTGCCCTGATAATTCCCAACTTCACTTTAGAGGAGCCTTTTTGGACCTTTTTTGCTTTATTCCTCCCTTTTCTTCTCTTTACTTCTTGATCGTTATTATCATTACAAGTTTGCCTGCTGCTAATTAGCAGCCAATATCTTAAAATCTTTCAAGTATCACTTCATTTTGGCACCTGTAAAATTAATTGTATCTGCTATATTAATCATCATGTACTATGATTTTTGGGAAGAAAATTCTTTGATGTTTTATATATTTACATCAATACCTGAAAGAAAATAGATGTGGCTGTGATTTAAAAGAAAGCATGTGATTTTTTTCACTGGAAAATGATTGCTCAATCGGTCTTCTCAACACTCTGATGATTCACCAAACCAGGTACAAGACAAACACTGTGTGAGATTCTTCTTTCTACAGCTTGTAAGTGTTGATTGGATTTGTATTATATATTATTCTATTTTCTTTCGTCATTTTCCCTCTGCTCTCGAGTCATTATTCAAATTTGGGCCCAGAAAATAATTCCGCAATACTATAATCATGTAAGCGGATTCAAATGGGGAACTCTGACGGCTGTCTTTCCAGCAATCAAAGCCCAAGGCTTCCAAATCCAAATCCTTTAAGTATAGATCGAATTTCAATAGTTGAATTTGACAAACCACCACTCCAACCTGAACCCTGCATTTCCTTTCGACTTCAAAGTGCGGGGAAGACCATGAACTTTCACCCATTTGGAACTTGAGATCAGGCCACTAAGACCGGCGACTTTCAATAAAGTGTGTGATGCACTTCCTGCCAACCCACCAAAGAAAGGAAAGAGCTCGGGCTGGTGGAGGGGAAACAACTAGATCAAAAGCGGTAGGAAATATAAAGTGACATATCATTGTTACTATTATTGGTAATATTTAGATATTCATGATATAATTACTCATACATCATTTACAACATATATCATTGTTTCCGTAGTAATGTACTAATTTTAGTGATAGCAGTATATCTCCATTTCAGCACCTAACAGGGAACCTCATGCTGTGTGAGCAACTGAAGCCTGTCTCACCATCTGAATAAAAACCAAGCAATTACTCGCTTAATCAGAAATTTCAAACATGCTGGTATTGATGCAAATAATAGAAGAGATCAAAATGTAAGATCTGAAAGTAAACTTCGAGCTTCCTCCTCAGGATGGCATACTCTTGCTTGACTTGTTGAAAAGTCCTAATGCATCTACAAAATCAAGATAGTGAATTCACATCAGAAAGCGTTTGCCAATTTAATTTCGGCTACCAGAAGTATTTACCAATATATATGTAAGTAAGTTTTGAAGAAAAGAAAAATACCCATCAGCATTTTCTACACTGCAGAATTCTTTGAACACTGTGCAATCATCAATCACCTTTTTAGCTCCTATGCTTCAAGAAAATTACAGACAACATAACCAAGTAACTCAGAGAAACAATTAACATTTTCTTTTTTAATTTTGGTATTTTAAGAGTTTGCCTGGAGCTGCTACCTTTGAATTGGTGCATGTAATCATCCAGTTTTCTATAGTCGATAGTCTTACTGTTCCTGCATGCATGGATTAATATATTTCCGATAAGAAGGAAACTAGTTTGCAGCTGCAAATTATGTGTCACAGTAATCATAATCATATTGATGGTTAGTGTGGTAATATAATACTGTTCCCCTTACAGTGCCTGTTCGATATTCTGAATCAATCTTGCAGAGTCGGTGTAAAATAGTGTAACAATTTCTTGTACAAAATTAGGGTTGGAATCATCTTGTAACTCCTCAAGCTGGATGAATTGCTCGTCAAGGTACCCCTACAACTACGCTTCAATATGCACATTTTACTTTATTTGGCAATAAAATTATGGATAGGAAAGAAGAAAAGAGAAGTAGAAAATTTTTCCGAAAGAAAAGATTATGAAATATATTGAGTTGGAATTTGGAAACGTTGCCACACTTTTTTGCGTCAAGATGTTTTTTTTTCATACCATTGGATTGTTTATTTTTGAAAAAGCTTGAAGTGTCTCAAATTTAATTTAGTTAATTCATGTAAATTTGTTTTGTAATGTTTTCTATCATCGACTCATGTCGTCTCTTTTGTTAAAAAAAAAAAAATTCAAGATATATAGTTATGCCCATTGACTAATTTCCAAGAAAATGAAAAGAGAAATAGAGGAACAAACCTAAAAAAAGTGTTTTTTTTTAACATGTTGACGATCTAAAGGCTAAAGTAAAGAAAAAGCAACGATGTTTTGGTAAACTAGTAAATGAAAAATGAAAATGAGAGAGATAGGACCTGATCAAAGAAGGACCTTCTCATGCAGGCAACTTGGTGTTGCAAGCGCTTCATGTCCTTCCTTGCTTTCCTTTTCTTTCCTTCGTAAAAAAAAAAAAAAAAAAAGTGGTAAAATCTGATATGTCAATGATTGGTAGCATTGCTTTATAAGGAATTTGATACATTGTGGAGCTGTGTTCAATTTCAAGGGTATGCCTTTGTATTTATAATATACGGCTAAACCCTGTGGTAAGGAAGGGAGAAAGAAGCATGGCCAAATATGACAAGAGGGAGAATCATAGGCCCACAAAAAAAATAAGGAGCTTACGTGTCAAACGATTATCAAATTGGTAATCCGTTTAGATTTTGATGTTCTGATTAAAAAAATATTTTTCTGTTGCAATAAAGATTTCACAAAAAATTCATGTTTACTAATGCTTTATTTAAATGTATGGTGAGGAATTTAAAGGTGTTAAAAACAATTGAATTTTTTAAAATTCAATTAATGATATTCACGTCGTGATGAAAAATTTTCCTATCATATATTTAAAAAATTATAAATATATGTATATTTATTAAAGATGTATTTTTTATTTTGTAGTATTTATATAAAAATATTGTAATTTTCATTTGTGATAATTAAAAGTTTTAGTAACAAAAAAAAAAAGAGAATTTCACACATTTTAAAGCCCTCCAAAGTTCAAAAATGAGATGTAGAAAAGGATTATTCCATATATTTCTTAGGGTTGATAATTTAATTCATCCTCAAAGGATTTCGACTCGACCCAACTCGATCTGATCCTACGGGTTTGTTTTTTTTTTTTTTTGAAATTTGGGTTTTAGGTTGGGTCGAATAAGATTATGAAACAATCGAACTCGATTCAGGTTCAGATTTTAGATAAATTCGATCCAACCCAATATTATATAAAAAATTATTTTTTATTAATTATTTAATTTTTTATATATATTTATGTAATGATATTTTTAAAGAATTTCACACATTTTAAAGCCCTCCAAAGTTCAAAAATGGGATGTAGAAAAAGATTATTCCATATATTTCTTAGGGTTGACAATTTAATTCATCCTTGACGGATTTCGACTCGATCCAACCCGATCTGATCCTACGGGTTTGTTTTTTTTTTTTTTTGAAATTTGGGTTTTAGGTTAGGTCAAATAAGATTATGAAACAATCGAAGTCGATTCAAGTTCAGATTTTAGATAAATTCGATCCAACCCGATATTATATAAAAAATTATTTTTTATTAATTGTTTAATTTTTTATATATATTTATATAATTATATTTTTAAATATTTATATTAAAAAAATAATATTTTATATTTTAAAAATTAATATTTTATTAATTTCGATTCGGATCAGGTCGGATACGATTTATATAATATTGGGTTGGGTTCGGGTTCAGATATGAAAAAAACAAAAAAAAAATTCAGATAAAATCACATTCGGATTTGATAATACATAAAGTTAGATTAAGTTTGAAACGAGTAAAACCCGCTCTGAATCCGCTTCGATGCCAATTCTAATAGTTCTTTAACATGTTTATGGACAAAGATTCACTAATTTTTTAGTAATGAAGTTCAAATTATCATAATTACCTGCATTTTCAGTGGAACAAAATGCTCCACTTATCATAAGTTGAATACGACTTCAAATTTAGCATGCTAAGGAAATCCATACTCTTACTCTCCAAACAAATCTACTTTCTATTTCAACGATCTCATCATGATTTTTGGGCTTATTATCGTCCTAAAGGTTAGAACTTAATCTAAACATTTTGAAATATGAATCTTAAAAAAATTATGATTTGAAAAAGTAAGAGGGCTCATGATTTATGTGTGTATATATTCTATCTTCCCGCAATTACACGATCACCTGTGAAACAAATATGAACAAGATTATGTTTTTATATTCTCAACAATAGTGTAATTTATGAGTAAAGTATTGACTTTTAATATTTTTAATTATAAAAAAATATTTTGCACTTTTTTGCTTTATTTCTTCATAAATTTGGAGAATATATCACTTATAATTTTTTTTTATTAAGTATTATAATTATTCAATTATAATAAAAAAATTACATAAAAAATCAACACTTATAAATATGAATTTTATATAAAATTTTAATAATCTCATATAATTTTAAATTATAATTAATTAATTATACTATGCTAACTTAAAAGCTCCCATGAATTCGACCACCCCTAAAGCTGAAGATCACCTTTTGTTTTTGGGGACGTGGCTAACAAACGTTAGCCAGATGTCAGTCCCCGTTGCTATGTCAATCCCAGCTGTCTACCAATACTGGAAACCAAGGTTACATTAGAAGTCCACCGTCAAACAAAGCAAGCCAGGCAACAAATTTCTACATGAAAAACGGATAGCTGCTCTGTTCATCCTTAAGACTAGAGAGAAATCGGCTAAAGCTAAAAAGTAAAAAATATGGAATGATATTAGTTATATTCAATCCTAGTTATAAACCAATACCAGATTCAGTAAGCCAGTACATTTGCTATGAGTCCTTGGTTAGAACTTAGAAGCATCGATTATCCTCCAAGCAATCAGTCAAATTATATGAACCAACTGCTTATTGCTCCTTCAGATATCTGCAGACCAGAAGGAGAAAAACCGGTGATGAAGACTTTTCAATAAAGAATTTGCCTGTGTTCAGTTAGTAGGAACCGGGCGTCTCCCCCTTCAAAAATTATTATTAATATTATATTTTATCTAAATATTATTTATAAAATTTATAAATATAACAATTTAATTTAAATATAATAATTATTAATTTAATAATTTATAATTTTTTTTATTATGATAGTTTTTTTTTTTTCTTTTTATTCATTATTCAGATTCTGTTTATCTTATTCATATACAAATCTATCAATTATAAATTAGAAGTACCCCAAAAGCCTTAGAGTTGACAGTTATGCTCTCTAGTCAAATAACCATATTAATATTTATTTTTACGTTAATGACTAACATTTTCTCATAACATCAAATGACTATTTTACTTTTAATAGTAAAAACGCAATAAATTTTTTTACAGTGTTAGGATTTCGTGTGTCATACATTTTTGGGTGATTTGATGTTTCAGAGCTTGAGAATTAAGGAAAAAGAAGGCCAAAGAGAAGGGAAATATACACAGGAAGTTAAGGGTTATTTGAGCGACGCAGATAAGATTTTATTTTGGGTTTTGAACTACGGCTTAGAGTTTGGATCCAGGATTAATTAAGATTTTTTTAGAGAAAATCGAAGCTGGAAAAGAAAAGACAACATCGTCAGGGTTCAAAAGCTACTTTTTCTGAAATTTCTAGCACCAGTGACACCATCAAAGGCAAACGACGGCAACAATGACAAATGTTTGCTGAAATATGAAAAATGTGATCGGATTTGAAAATATTTGATTTTTTCAACTCAAAGATCATCCTATTCTAGAGAGAAAGAAGAGAAATACAGACTGTATCATTGTGATTGGATAATTGTAGAATTGTAAGTGAAATGCTCCCCTGTAACATGTTGACTAAAACAGGTGCTTATTTAAAGGCATTCCAATTGTAGATTAGCTAATGACCATGTATCTGTAATATTTGTTGTTAACATTTTGCTACTTGCATATAGTTGCCAGGTCAACATCCATTAATTTTTGTAGAGCGTGATCTGTCTGACTGTACATTTAGCTCGCTTCAGATTCCACTCCAAAAGATTTATCTGAATAAGGTGCCCTGAAAGGTTTAGTATTGAGATTAGTAATCACCTTTTCATATTATTAGAATATTATATACTATAGCACCTACTTAATAGTTAGGAACTGCCTGCCTTTAAGCGTGACCAGAGCTTAAGGATGAGTTACCATGTTTCCAGTTTTCAATTTATATAGGAATCTTGGGATTATCGGATCCTCTTGACTAATTCCAAAGAGTCCAAGTAGTCTGTAACTGCACACGTAGATGCTGAGTTTCTTGACGTCGTATGAATGATTGAATTGTTTGAATAATCGAATATATATCATTCATTTATTCGTTAAATTGATAAGGCTTTTTTTTTTTTTTTAGATTCATAAAAATTATACAAAAGAATGAGAAATGAAATTGAATTATATTGAATATAGTCAACAACTGAAAGAAGTACATTTTCCTATAAGCATATATGCCAACAAAGCTGCATTACCAAAACCACAATTTCACATAGCCTTTGGCTTTAGTTTGTTTTAGCTAAAAAAGGTTCTTCTAAGCAGCAAATCCTTGTAAGAAGAGAAAATTAAAACGCTAAAAGGAGACTGAAAGAATCATGAGGCAACCCAAAAAAGGAAACAGAAGAGACCAAGATTATGTTAGTGACAGGAATGAGATCATTACCTTTATATGAGCAGACAGTTGTCCTTGTCTTGTAACTTTCTCTTTCCATCTCGCCTGTAAAAAACTGTCAGCCAAAAGTTAAAGAAGGAAGAGTTGAGAAGGATGCTCCCTTTATTCCTTTGCCACCCGTCGCATAGAGAATGGGAGAGAGAGGGTAGAAGGGGATTTTACAGGGCCATTGACCTCTCTCTGTCTCCCTCAAATGGTCTTTTATAGATGCTTCATCACATCTTCTCCTTTGTTAAAGGAAAGGCTATGGTCAGGTGGAATTGGATGAGAATATTAATTGCTGATTTCTACTTTCACTGGAAGGATCAATATTCGCTCTTATATCACTGTCTCCTATGCTGATAAGAATCCCACCAAGGATATGATAAACACTACATGCAATGACAGGTTTGCTTCCAACAAGGATGGAGCTTCCAAGAAACAATTCTTACAAAACCCAAATTCTGAAGTTTCCGAACTCAACTCTACTGACCTTAATCCCAAATTCTGAACCTTTATCTGTTTTCTCCATTCAAATCATTAAAAGGAAATATCCTTAGAAAGACTTGAGAAACTTCAGAGGGTACTTTCAAAGTTGTATAACCAAAGCATACAATACGTTATCAGTATTGTAAGTCCATTCAGAAAAAACACTCAAAATATCACACCAATCACTGCAAACTATAATTCATTTCAATGACAATAGCATGTGTGTTGCTTGTCCAGCACAGTAAACTGTTTCATCAGCTAAAACGATTTGTCAATAAACCACTGCACACAAGCCTTCAGGGAAAAAATGACAGTTTACAGAAGATTGCCTAGGTAAAGTAAATTTTGCTCCACTCAAAAACATGAAAGGGAAACGAGTTCTTATAAGGCTCAGTGTATTTTATACAACCAAAATTGTCCAGGGAAAAAAGCAATAAAACTCCAACTTTAAGAACATTAAGGATATAAAATGGCACCTGTCTGGAAAGGAGAGGTAGAGGCAACTCCATCAAACAATTTGTGGGCCTTCAAAAAAAAACCTTTTCACTTATTCAGAACATTTTAATGGGTATATACTCCAAAAAACTGTGGGTGATGATGAATCATGTTAATGTTTGTATACAAATCATTTCATGCGTCTACGCAAGAATCCCATTGCCTGGTAGACATTATTGAGAGTAGCATCAGCTATAGCTGCAGCTTTCACAGCCCCTTCTTCCAAGACTCCATCCAAATAAGCTGAATCAGAAATAATTTCCTCATATCGAGCCTGCAAAAGCAGAAAACCTGACTATGATGGGGACACCCGAATCAATAATAATCAAACATCATCAGTGGAAGAAAAACAGATAGCTTTCAGACATGCAAAAACCAATGCCATTAGCAAAATAGGGGGAATCAAAAAAATGATTGGACCAAATAATATGATCACAACTTTGGCTGAAAACAACTTCATGCACGACAAGCAAAAAAAAAATCTCCATGTACATACAAATTATTCACGAAAAGAAACACATGCTATCACTATTGTCAAAGATGGAATCTAATCAAACATTGGTACCACCAGGGCACCAATGCAGGTTCAAAACTGGAGCAACAACATGGACATGAATAGATTTAAAGATTGTTAGACCGCCTAGGTTGCAGTAGGTAGCTTCATAACAATTTGCCAGGAATCATTTCTCCTAATTTTTTGACTTCTAAGGTTGACCAAACAGTTGAAATAAGATAGCCAGGACTCAATAGATTTCAAGTACATCAGGAAAGCTTTTTACTATTAAATTACCAATGATTTGAACACAAAACTAATTAGTTAACATAAAACATCCATAAATACATATTTCCTCCCCAAACATATGAACTGTTATGGTTAGAATTATTTGAACGCCAGTATTTAATTTAATATAATTAATCTTAAATTGGAATTCATTTCTAGGGTGAAGTATTAATACAAAAATAAACACCTAGGGTGTGTTTGGATGAGGAATTTTAAAATTTTGAAGAATTTTGAAATGCTAGCATTTTGAAATGCATCAATTTAAAATATCATAATTTGTAATTGTGTTATTTGGATAATTATTTTTAGAAAGAAATTTTAAATATTGGAATCTGATGAGATAAAAAATATTACAATAGAGAAATAATGATATTAGAGATAAAAAAGCAAAATACTAAAAATAATGCAATATGGGTGTCATCATATTTGTAAAAATCTATAGATATCACTAACAATATGAAAAAGATTAAAAAATCAATTTTATAATGAATTTTTGTAGTTAAAATTGACGAAAACAAAAGTTACGTAAATGAAGGAAACCTAGTAAATGTTGACTTCTTCCTATAAAACCAAAGAATTTCACAAATTCCACATCCTTAGGTGGAATTTGAAAGAGAATTTGAGCCCTTCAAAATTCCTCATTCACATTCCAACAATTTTGACAATTACAATTTTTATTTCGGCAAACAAAGTAATTCCATTTTAGAATTTTGAAAGTCTCTACAAATGAAATCCATCCTTCAAATCCCTCATCCAAACATACCCCTAAAGTCCCTTGGGGCAATAATATGCCCAATCGCAACAAAAACAAATTATAGGTAAAACAGCATAGCATGTATATGTTCCTATCATGCACAGTAAAAAAGAAACACTGTATATAGTGCTAAGAACCTGGATAGGATGCAAATGATCAACCAATGAATCTGTTAGCAGGGTTTTAAATGTGCCCCAGTTCATATCTTGGCATTCCCGCACAACTTCCTGAGACCAAAACATAAGATAATTATTAGGTGTTGAACCTCTCCTAACCTATCTAGACTAATTGATGATCCCACAATTTCTTATATCATAGAAGCAACTTTAAATATCAATAAGAATTTCAAATGCAAAGTTAGATATTGTACAAAAATGTACTGATATGAAAGGAGAGAATGATTCTGTTTCTTAAAGCATTTCACACCTATTCCTGTGTGTGTATATTAAATTCAGAATATTGTAAGCAGAGAACATCCTCTGTCACATTTGCTTGAAGCAAAGTTTACAATCAGAAAAACTAGATCAATCACTCAGGGGCTTAGTGTTACCTTAGTCCAAAGTACTTGTAATGGAAGTGAAATTACCATAGGACTGACTTATCTTGGATGGACAAGAACAAAAAGGCATATTATCACATGTCATACATGTAAGAGTACTCAAACTCAAGCAGGATACACCTAATCTTCAAACCTCTTTTGTCTTGCTTGAAATTAGCTGATATATCGAAAGAAGATTGTTGCATTCAGGACGTTCAGGATTGTCAAATTCCAGGCTATAAGAATTGCCAGAAGAAACACAAACAAGACAATAAGTTGGACGACTTCACATTACATTCTATTGTCATATAAAGAAATATGTAATCAAGAAAATAAAAAAGGAAATAGAAGGAAAACTTCAAATTATCTGGATAGACTAGGAATTAACCCTGGAAATGAATCACTCTTGCAACGCTTTATCTTGTTAGCTATCACCTACTACCAAAAAAAAGGAGATTAATTTTGAAAGAAGCAAAGATAAGGGCAAAAACAGAACTTTGAAACCAGCTAAGCTACATAAAATTTTCATAGCATCAATAAGTGAGTGCATGGAGTCATACAGGTGCATATTTCTTAATTACAAAAGCTGGTATTAACTTTGTTAGAAAAACTTAAATGGAAAAAACTTTATAAAATAGTCCACAAGAACCCTTTACTTTTCCCCCAGAATACTGCAGCTCAAAATTAACTTTTGAAGTCCAATCCAGGTTAAAGACCCATGACTTCAATGACTACCGTGCAGATTTCCATGCATAATTACTAAATTCAACTGTAGTATGCATATAATTTATAAAACCTTTTGTAATTTTTAAAAACACACACCAGGCAGGGAGAAACAAGGCAGAAATGTATTAAAACCACTCACATCTTTGGGGTCAAGAAGATTGATTCGTGACTGATCAGAAGGTGCGGACTTAGACATCTACAAGATCAAACCCCATAAATATATCAGTCAGTATCAGAAAAAATCATTTCAGAAAACAAACAAATAGGTTATAACAGTTTCATAACCTATTATTGATTTTCTCTTGGCTGGTCATAGAGTGAGATCTAAAAGATGAATAAAACTTGAAAGGTGACTTCATATTTTCTATTATCTTCCACTCTGTTAAAAGACATGAAATTTTTATTATATTTCGGATAATAATGATATGTTCTAGAGCAAGAATCAAATATCCCCAATACCAACTGCAAAGATTTACAAAGATAATTCATATAGTCAGATAACTATTTCTATGAAATGTAACTAGGTTAAAGTTTGAAGAAAGCATTCTTAAGACCTTCATTAAGCAATGGGAGTGAAAAAGAAGGTAGGAAATTAATGCCTTATGTTAATTGAATAAGTGACCACCAAAAATAAATGTAGGCAGATAACTGAAGCCATCTTAAGACTGTTTGGTCTATCCATCCTAGATTATTATGAGAATTTAAGACTTAACCAGTACTTTGAGATAGAATTAAGTCACTGAGAATAATAGCAGCATAGAAATAAAAATGCAAAAGAATATCTCTATCCGTAAAGTCCTAAGAGTTTCCAATGTGATCACCCTCACGCAATTCATCAAAGAGGAGATTGCACCATATAGGAGGTGGGCAAGTCAGAAACTCATATTCATCTACCACAGGCAAGTTTCACTTATCAAAATATAGATTGCTGAAAACCTTTGAAAGACCATCACTGAGGGACATAACTCGTGCTCCAGCTGGCGGTATTAAGGGCTCAGGAACCTACATAAGGGAACAAAGTTAGATAAGAACCTTTCATAATTTGTGATGGTTCATGAGCTTCTATGCAAGGTCTAAACCAAGTATTGGTTAGAAAAACCACCTTAAAAATAGCACCACCACGCCTGTGACCAAAACAAAATATTAGAAGGGTCAAAGCTTTAGTGATGATAATGTACAGCAACCGAAAAGAGGCACAGATATAATGATGAATCAACTCTTTAAAAATATTATTTATTCTCACCCTCCCAGCTTTTTCCACTTCCTTCCTCCATATAAATAGTTAATACGCTCAGCCAACTCACGAGTCAGCTCCAAATGCTGCTTCTGATCTTCACCAACTGGTACAAAATCAGACTGCAGAAGCATGCTGCAATTGTGTAAGAATCATGCATCTTCAGGGCACTTTATCAAAACGTCATCAACATTTTTCAGATAAGATACTCAAACTATCAAGGTTGTTAAGCATGCTCAAATAATGGATAATGCTCATGTGTAACCACCTGATACAAAAGAATATCAGAAGCCATCAGAACAGGATATGTCAATAGAGCAACTCCAACATTTTCATCTCCCTGAAAAACCATAACAGAGAAAGACAATTGATTTAAACAGACAAAAAGCATAAATTTGATAAGAGAAACAAGATGAAATGAAATAATTACTCTACTAGAAAGAATAGCAATCCTATATTTTCCTGATATTAAAAAAATCTTACATGTATGTTAAAAGCCTTACTTTCTTTCTTTTTTTGGATAAAATTGTGAAACCACCAAAGGTAGAAGGATTTTTGCAGGAATTGATATCCAATAGTATGATCTTTGCTTTTAGAAAACTATTTCTGCATCATTGAGAACTGATGCCTACACATTGACAGCACCCAAGCATATGGGGTGATGCTCAATGATGATTTGTAGACTAAAGAAGTTTATCAGATGCTAGCTGAATTCTTTTCCCAATATTTGTATTAAATAATTAAAACTAAAATACTCCCACTTTGACCAACTCCAAATGCACAGGGCTATAGCTTCATTGATAAGAGGTTATGATACAGAAATCTCAAAAAAAATTGAAGCTATAATGATAGTAATAATAACATCAATAATAAGTAATAGAGATGGAGCTGTCGGACAGCTAAAAACGCACCGCCTTGCGAGATTTCTCTTTAAACTGGATCATTCTGTTTAGCCAACCAATTGGTGTGGCAGAACTCAGTAGCCACATCAATTCTACATGAGCACGAACATGTGACTGCACAAAGACAGAAGCCTGCATGGCCAAATGAAATTATTTGTAAGCAACCAGAGCTTCAAATGTGCAGCGAAATGACTCATAAAAGTATCATAAAGGACCAAAAGTGACAGCACACCTTTGAAGTGTCTACACCACATGCCAAATAAATAGCTGCTGTATTCCTTGTTGCCTTAGATAGTTCTTGTGTATCATAAGGTAGTGTAATCTGCACATAGAGAAAAAATGAATCAATTGAGAATAGCTAAATAGTCATCCAGAATAAAGAGAAATCTTGCTTTTGAAAAGCAGCCCAACATAAAAGATTGATTGCAAGGCAGCAGCATCAATGAGAAATCTGCACGTAGATAATATTTCATACCGCATGGAGGTCCACAATGAAAAATAGTGTGTCATATAAGTCCTGCAAAAAAAGAACCACAGCCAGAAACACTTAATCAGACAAAAAGTTAAACATAACAGTAAAGTGTCCTTTTTAAGTGTAAAATAACAAAGACAGTCACTAGCTTAAACAAGTTCATTTTATTATGTTCTCATTGTAACCCAGAACATTGAAGGCATTCAATAGTCTAGTTCATGAATCTAAAAATTTATTTGGCATCTAGAACCTGCTATGAAACCTAATCTTCGGATATTCTCAAAGTTTCTCACAAAAATAACAAGTACATAGAGAAGAAAGCAAGCCAAAAAAATAAAAGATGGTACATATCAATTTCACAATGAAAATCTAGAAAAAGTGCAGTACTCAAGGACAAAACGTTAGTACTCACACTGACTTCAAAAGCGACTAAGGTTGGTCTAAAAGGAAACCAAAATTTATTCCATACACATCATCAGAAGTAGCTACATTGCTGATGCCATAAAACCATATTATTTGTATCACTTAACATGTTTGACCTTAAGAATGTAGCAGAGAAAGTCAGGAGAACCTGAAGGTTAATCCAATTCTTTATGGCGCCAAGATAATTCCCAAGGTGGATGGCTCCAGTTGGCTGGACTCCAGATACTATCCTCTTCCTGTAAGTTATTCAATATAAATTTACTAAAACATGTTTCCAGTAAAATGCTTTAGAAATTAAAGTAATGAAATAAAAAATTAAAGGTCATTTGAAATCTATAATTTGCTGAGTTTGGAATCCAAAGAACAGTTGATTTTTTAAAATCATTTGACTCGTGAACGAATTTTCCTATAAAATTCATTCTCGAATGTAATGAATTCAACTTTAATTTGGTTCCAAACAAGCCGTAAGCAGATTTATTCTGGATTAGCAAACACATTCTAGCTTTCCAGCAGTTCAATTTAACAATTAAGAACAAGCATATATTCACCATTGCGTTGTCAAGTAATCAAATACTATTCAACACTAAAATTTTCTTTTAATTAACTGCATTAAAAGATAAGATAAAATATGAAATGGAGATAATTACCTGACCGAGCTTGAAGATGTCTCTGGAACAGCTGGCTGCGACAGCGAAACACTGCAGCAGCAACGGAAACCAGCGCCGTTGTCTCCATTTACAGCAGGACGGATGAATCCAGGTCTTTTCAAGTATTTACTTTGAAGCCCGCCACAAGATCTATAAACCAAACAAAAATATAAATAGATGAAAATTTTGTTTTCATCGATTTAAAGATGAAGGGAGAAAGAGAGAGTACAGTGAAGATGAGAGGCGAGGAGAGGAATTGGAAAGGATGAGAAATTGAGAGAGCACTGCGCGCCCCATTTTTTCCACTTCTTTTGTCGGCGGTTTTTCAATTTTGTGTTCGGAAAAGATTTATCCGTCAAAAACTGAGTGAGAAAGTAAACCGTGAGAGGGTGGGCATAGATTCGTTTGTTGCGCCTTGCTTCGTTTTTTTCTGCCTAGGTTTGTTTTCTTTGAGGCTCGGTGCACCCTGTAGATTGCGTCAGGAATATATAGCCGTTGATCACTTCTGGGCCGCATCAGCTTTTTTTTATTCTTTGTTTCTATTGATGGAATTATGCCTCTGGTGCTTGGCGATGAAATCTTCCCTGGGTCGTAAGTTTTTTTACATAGAGATTGGATCTTAAAGAAAAAATTATAAATGTAAAGATTTAAATTTTTAAATTTATTAATTTTATAGTAATATAAATTAATTAAATTAAATTTAGAATTATTATGAATCATTTGTTTACAATTAAAATTAAATAATTATCTATATAAAAAAATAGTATAAATTTTTTTTCCTCCAAATTTTATCTTGGCATAATAAAAACCTGCAAATTATGATAAAATTTTTAATTAATTTTTCATTCTTTTATTTGTATCAATTAAATTCTCAAACTATTATTCAATGTCAAATGAATATACTTGGAAAAATCTGATGTGGCTACAATGTGACCTATTCCAAAATATGTGAATTAAGAGGTTGTTAGCATTTTCCATCCAAATTGGGTTCATTTGAAACCAAATAATAAATTAAGGGTTCAATTAAAATAAATAAAAGAATAGGTATTTAAGTGAATATATTACTATAATGTTGAGACTTACTTTGTCAATACACTTTTACTTTTCAATTAAGAAGATAGAAGTGATAACGAATTTTATTTTATTTTTTAAAATAATGTATAGTATTATGAATATTGAAATTTTGATTCGAATCTAAATCGATATTTTTTTAAAATCAATTTGAACCAATTATATTTGTTCAGTTTAATTTGATTAATTGATTTTTAAATTTTTATTTTTTATATTATTTAATAAGATTTTTAAAATTTTAAATAAATTTATATATAAAATAATTATTTTTATTTTATAAAAATTTAAAAAATATATAATTCTATTCATTTTTTTCATATTTTAATTTAAAATTTAAATTTAATATATGTATATTTAATATTCAAATTTAATTTAAATAGAATAAGAAAAATTCTATTCACATATGTTAAATGGCTGCTTATGTAGTTGTTTCATTTTGGCCTGGTCTTGTTTTTAAATCTCAACAATATTAAATGTTTGGTATTGCAAATAGTTGGGATGCCGAGCATGGATGACCTTGTGAAGAAGCCTGATCTTTTATCTTTTTATATTGCAAGTAAAATTCCCATCTCTGGACCCACAGGGCAGGAGCTTTTGGAAATTATTGGCATTTCATATGGACTGCCCCAGAAAATTGAGTTACTTAAAGGACTTGATCGTATGCGATGTAAGATCTGTCAGGTACTTATCTCTCTCTCTCTCTCTCTCTCTCTCTCTCTCTCTCTCTTTTGTGTGTTTGAACACCCACGTCATATGGTTGCATGGTTTCTTGTGTTCTTGATGCACAAACATGCAGTTCTATGGGCTACTCTTCACCAATTTTTATTCAATTGTCTTTCTTTTTTTTTTTCTTTCCTTCGGACTGTAATTGCTAGGCTATGTGATTTGTTGGTGATGTCTAGTGATGGCCCTCTGGGTGCTTATGTTAATTCGCATGGCTATGTGCTTGAGGTAATTATCTTTCGTAAAGCAAATGGCTTACCACTCAAAGGCCGACCGGTTAAAGAGTACAGCTGGTTTCCTGGGTATGGTCTTAAACTCTCTTTCTCAAAGGCTGGTATGAAGCTAATCGTGTACTGCTATGTTTGGCACGTAAAGATTAGTTGAAAAATAAGATATTAATTATCTTATCACGAATTTATTATGCACTTAAATAAAAAGATTGAATTATTAAAAGAATTAAATATCTTATGCCAATAGGATAATATTATCTTTTGAAAAAATAAAAAATTATTTTTAATTTATGAGATTAAATTTTCATATTTTATTATATTTTTAAAAATTATATCAATAATTAAAATTATATAAATTTTAAAAAAAAATAATTTTGATTAATAAATAAATTATCTTATTTTAATTCTTTCAAACATCAAACATAAAATAAAATAATATTATTTAATTTAATTTTATTTATAATATTATATTATTTTATCTTATCATAATTTTGTGTATCAAATATGATAACTCGATAGTTGACGTGTTTTTCATCATTAGTTGGATTCTCATATCATTTTGCCTTGGGGTTAATAAGAAGGATGAGATTTTCAATGTTCTCCTGATGACACTGATAATGTTTCCTTATGGTATAATTGACTTGTATTTAAATTCTAGGTGGAAAGTCAATCCCCCGGTATAGCTTTGGTTAGTAACCAGTAATGACTAGTACTAGGTTAATTTAGAGAACAGGGCAGGAGAGATACCATGTTGATATTGTTGGCTAAAGCAAAGTGATTCAGTTTTGGTTTTCATCATTTTCATTGCGCATTGCAAGTTTTTGTTTGTGATTGTAAACGAGCAACAATTAACAAACGAGCATTTACTCCTTTACTACAAAATTGTGTTGGTGTATATGGTGGTTGGTGGAACTTTATATATGGGAGGCTGTGAACCAGTAAATTAGACCTAATAAATCAATCTGCAAAACTTGTCCTCTATGAATTGCAATAGTATCTTGCGACTGTTCTCTTAATTCCCTATTTTGACCCTATAACCATGATTAACTTAATCGCTATTTTCGGTAGGTGTGCATGGACGATTGTAAACTGTGCATCTTGTTAAACCCAAACGGGGTGAGGTGGCTTTTACTGCGACAAATGAGAAGTTGAAGCCAAAATTTTCGAGGGAAAAGTAGCTGTCAAGTTATGGATGGCATGCTAGAAACCATGTCTTCTCAAGTATGTCCTAAAATTTTCTCCAGTTAATATGCAACCAGACTATCAGAGCTTATATTTGTGTAACCTTGATAGATGAAAAGATCAGCTTTCATGCTGGTATTTGTGACGTTCTAAAGTAAAGACATAGAACAAATGATTGCAAGGGCCTAATATGATTTAAAACTTTATAAATATAATAAACATAATACGTGTCGAAAAGACTGAATGTTGTGATTCATTTCAAATATATAGGATTAAAATATAAAAGTATTCTCACAAATTTCTATTCGAAGAAAAATAATCAATAGATCCTAATAGCTATGCCATGAACCTCAATCACAAGAACTAGAGGGATCACAAAACCGGAGAGATGAACAACAAAGGCCAATAGAAAACAGTTGCAAAACAAAGTGAGGCTGAGGCCTGCAAATCGCAGACTAACAAAATGGGATTCTACTTCAATTTCAACGGAAGGTTCTGTAGATTGGGCTGTACATGCAGCTCTCCGCGTATTTAACGAGATCCTTAGGTTGAGGAAGGTGAGAAGCCAGACCTAGGAACAATCAAAGAACGTAAAAATGAGTATGGAGGTCAGTGTTTTCAAGAGCTTAACAGATTGTAGAAGGAATGCGACATGATCATGCAACAGATTTCAGGCAGGAACTCACCAAGTTCATATGCCTTGGCAGCAACCTTAGCAGCAATATTGGCAGATATCTTTCTGATATTGGAGAATGGTGGGTAAATCATTCCCTTTTTGTAGTGTTCCTCTGTCACTTGTGAAGCCAAAGCTTCGGCTGTCACAAGGGAAAAAAGTGCAGTTAGGTCCAATTGGTCAACATTTGCATGGGTAGAAAAAACAACCAAATGATTAGTGAGTACTGGTAAAAAGGGTATTATTATATAGAAGGCTTTTGCGAGGCAGTTTTAGTGAGGTCAGTTTTTGGGTGGGTTGAGGCACTTACAGGCTGCCAAAAGCATGTCATCATGTACACGAATTGCACCAGAAATTATCACACCCAAACCAAATCCAGGGAAAATGTAAGCATTGTTTGCCTGAATGACGTCAAACAAGAAGATAACAACTAGAATAAGAAAATTTGGGTGCAAGTAAATTTCCAATTCCAAAAATACTCAAGGTACAGACGGAACCTGGCCAGGCAGGAAGACTTTGCCATTATATTCAAAGGGGTCAAATGGGCTTCCACTGGCAAAGATTGCACGACCCTGCATATAGAAAATGGAAGAAAAGAAAAAAGGTAAAGATTATAGTGAGAGTTTTAAGATTAATTTACCTGAATCTTTACCAAATTCCATGCTATTATGATAAGGCATCCCAGTTTAAAAAGCATAGAAGAAAATTGCATGTCACATACCTCACTCCATGTATATGCTTCTTCTGCTGTACATTCAGCTTGTGAGGTAGGATTGGATAGAGCCATGATAAGTGGTTTCTGCAAGTCAACCATTGTGATTAGTACAAAACTCTTCAGTTGAGATGATCTAGACATGCATACAGAGATATATAGGTAGAGAGAGATAAAGAACCTCATTGACGGATGCCATGGCCTCAACAACCTCCTTTGTGAATTGTTTTCCGACTCCAGATGTTCCAATCAGGACAGTTGGCTTGATTGCCTAATTAATCAAAACAAAGGTGAGAAAGAAAGAAAAAAAAATGAAACAATTCCTTTTTGAATCTTGATGAACAATACAAGTTACACACCTTGACAGCATTTACAAGTTCTTTAACGGGTTCATGCTCATGAGCCCAAGGTTTCTTGAAGTGTTGAAGTGACTCCTTGCGGGACTCAACAATCAAACCCTGCCACACAAATCAAGCTCATCAAAGTGAGAAAGGATGAACAAAAATATGCCAATTTTAGAAAGAAGAGCTACCAACTTTTTAACAAGATGAACAGATGAGATTCACAGTACCTTTGAGTCTACAAGCCAAATCTTCTTGCGGTTCTCTTCAATTGGATTTCCAGTCTGTCAAGAACAATATATGTTCAGCCATAAACCATTTCTGAGAAATCAATATTTAGCATAAGAAAATGCATAAATTTCTTACCTGCTTTGACATCTCGAGAGCTATGAGCTCAGCTATACCAGTTCCAGCCTATCAACACCCAAAAAGAAACACAATTAAGAAGTTAAACATGTATAATAGGGTTTCTCGCTTTATAAGTGAAAAATATGGAGGAAAAGGGGGAGGTTAAGTGATATAAAGAAAAATACTGCTAAGAATTGATTAAACTTGAACAGACTAATTAGTAGCAGGGATTGTCTAGAAAAGTTCAGTTTCCTTATTGTCATTGTTTTAACTGAGCCTTACCTCTCCAGCACCCAGGAACAAGAACCTATGGTCAGCGAGAGTTCCACCAAGTAATCTTAGGGCTGCAAGAAGCCCAGCCAGCACCACAGAAGCTGTACCCTGCAATTATGAAAGAGCCCTATGAGAGTTGCCAAATAAGGAAGAATATTTCTCAAAACTAAAATAATGTTACCACTATGAAGGAAAAAGGAAGAGGAGAATTTAGTTAGAGCCTATTACCTGTATATCGTCGTTGAAAACAAGATGTGTAGAACTATATCTTGCCAACAACTCAAATGCGTTGTGATTTGCAAAATCTTCAAACTGAAAATCAGGCTTAGCTTTTCAGAGAACAGAGTATGTAAAGCCCAGAAAGGCCTAAAATGAACATGAACTGATGATTACCTGTACCAGAACTTTCTCTCCATAATTCTGCTTAACTGCAGACATGAACTCATGAAGAAGTTCAGCATATTCCTACACCATGGAAATCGATGCACCTCAGTATTTCAAATAAGTAAATACATTTATGGCATAACAAATTATGACCGGATGGAAATATGTAGAAGCAAAGGAAAATCACCAAACCTGTCCAGTTGCCCTCCTTTGCCTGAGGCCAATATAAAACTCATCATTTAACAACTTCTCATTGTTTGTCCCAACATCAATAGTTATGGGCAAGCACTGCAAATATTGAATGAAGGTTGTAAATTAATTAAATATCAGTAGCAGATTTAGGAAATATTTTATACTGTTTGGTTAAGCTGCAGAAAACCTAAATGATATAGAAAGTTGAATCAACATCATATATTCAATTACGAAACTACTGTGGTATTACTGTAACCAAAATTTTCACTACAAACTCATCCATTGGGGAATAAGTGGAAAAAAAAAATCAATCATGAATCAGAGTAGTTTTAGTAATGCTTACTGCAGAGGGACGGACTCCCCCCAAAGCTGTGTACAGAGAAAGTTTTCCTACAGGTATACCCATTCCCTGAAAACAATCATAATATTAAAAATCAATAAGTTGGCCTACAAGAGAGAGAGAGACATGATCGCTGTTTCAACTCACAGCGTCAACACAGATATCACTTTACCTGGCAACCAAGATCTCCAAGTCCCAAAATTCTCTCACCATCAGTGACAACAATAACTTGAACACTTCTCTCAGGCCAGTTTTTCAATACTTCAAGAATCTTCCCCCTGATAGATTGTGGTGCTTAGTTATTGTTGTGCAACGGTAACACATAAAAGGAATACATACAAAGGACAAAATCAAATACATACCTCTCTTTCAAACTGATGTAAAGACCCTGAGGGCGCCTGAAAATGCTGCCATATTTTTGGCAAGCCTCACCAACAGTTGGAGTGTACACAACTGGGAGCAGTTCCTCCACGTTATCAATGAGAAGCTTGTAGAAAAGTCGTTCATTCCTCTCCTGCAAAATGCAACCGACCATCAGTAAAGTTAAGTTGTCAATAGGTGCCATATCACTAGTCTGTGAGTCACAAACAAGGATTCAATCTGTTAAAAATCATCCAATGTGCGGAATGCAAGGCGTGAACAAGTACCTGAAGATCCATCATGGCCATGTATCGTTGCAAAGGAACTTTATATTGGCGAAGGATATGCATCAGCTTCTTCTCCTGAAGCTCCTGACTTAGAACAACAGGGGGCAAAAGGCCACGCAAGTAGTGGACATCTCTCTCTTTCTCAGTGAAGGCAAGCCCTTTGTTGTGACGTGGGTCCCGCATTAAGGAATACCCACTGCAACAAGAATAACAAAGATCTAACTTGAGTTGAGAGATAACCAAAATCTTCAAATCATGATCTTTTTTTTTTTCTAAATTTGGAAACTTCAAATCAACTAAGACATTTCAAAGCCAGTGAAGGGGATAAGTGTATAAAAAGGCAGAAATAACGGCAGTTTTTCTGTTTAGTTATCACTTTGTTTGTAAGTTTCAGTTTCTCTACCACTGAAAACCCAAAAATGTTATCATCGTTGAAATTATTAATGAAGAATAAAACAAGTCAAAATTTTCTATTGTGGCAGTGAGTATGTAAACAACAGAAACGAGTTTTGTATTAGTCATATTTGATGCAATTTGCAGTCTTGTAGAAAATTTAACAGATTTGTACCAAAAGGAAATTGACAGAAAATTGCTTTTCCCTTTGATTTATCCGGAAAAAAAAAGAAAAGAAAATTGACAGAAATACAAATATGGTAGAAAATTTAGCTATTGGCATCATATTACCAACAGAAACTTTATTCCCAAAGATCAACAAAGGTATTATCTTTGTGCTTTTCAGATCAAGGTTGTGGTTTTTTTAGATCTAAAATGTCTGGACAACAATTATTACTAGTAGTTCAGACTTTAAAGAAGATTAGATGAAATGAATATCACTTTTAACACACCAAAAATCTAAACATATACTATACCATAAAACAAAAACAGAAAATTGAAGGAAGAAACTATTGGCATTGGTAAAGAAATCTGAATAAATCACCTGGCAACAGAGACAGTCCAAGGAGTGATAGGCTGATCCATCGTGGCACTATCCTCACCGTACATATCCTCAACACCACCGGCAACAGCGCACTTGCTATCCACTAAATCACCATCGTTCATCATTGTTCTCTGCAATAATAAAGACCAATATTTTCTTTCTTCTCCACCCAACACCGATCTCTGCAATCAAAGGAAGCTTGGAAAAAAAAAAGGACCAGAGAAACAGGGCAAAGAAAAACAAGCTTTTGCCTTTATGTTTCAGAAAACAAAAACCAACCCTTTTTATAGGCAAAGTAAAAGGAAAGGAAAACCCAAAAAGATTGTGAAAATCAAAGGTTGGTGCCTTTTTTTATGTTTTCAATGTCAAAGGGAATAAAAACAAGTATAAATTGATCAAATGGAAGAAATGGTTATTCAAAAAGATCTTAGGACAAATATTTTAATTTCATTTTGTCTAAAAGAAATGTCAAAGTCATAAGCAAAGTTGCAATGTGGGAATAGTTGAAAAAATGATGGTAATTGGTACCAGTAGTCGTTTCAATGAAAGCATCCCGTTTGGAAGGAGAGGAACGTGGAAACGACTGACCGCCTGCCTGCTGTGAAACGCAATATGTTTTCCGCGTTTTTCTAGAGAGAGAAAAAGTAAAAGTCTTGCTCTTTCCTTTCTTTCCTGTTGCTTCCCGCGTGTCTAGAGAGGGAAAGGGTAATCTAATTCACTACTTTGAGAAAGGCTTTTCCCTTGTTCGTTATGCTTCTGCTTTAGTTCTATTTCCTGTTTTATCGTTCGCTCCTGATCATTTTATTTGTTGTTTTTTTTTTTAAGATAGAATTTTCTAATAATAATATATTTTTAGTTTTAATATAAAATTCACTTTCCAAATTCCAATTAACTAGTGCCCTTGTGAGATCTAAAATTGTTTGAAATATTACAACTAATAATAATAATAATTTATACGTAAAAGAAAATAATAACTGGTATTTAATAACATTGATTATGGTTATATTTTAAAATATAATTAATGTATTGTTTTTTTTTAATTTAATAAAAATAATGTATTAAATATAAAATTTTTTTTAAAATAATATTTTTGCTAATAGTGTTTTGAATGATGAGGTGGAGCTTACGTGAACGATTGTACATAGGTGAGTTGGACCTGCGATAAGAAAAGAATGGTCAAGAAACGTCGAAATTGGTTGCAACTTTTTTCTTCAGCCGCCCCGCAAAGCCCTATTTCCTCCTCTTAAAACATTTTCAAAGCTAATTTTTGCAGTATTTTTCTAATTTTTTCTAAATATTTTCATCATTTTTCCAAAAGATGAATAATTGGCATTAGAACATTCATGTCCTTGTTCAATGTTGGGGTGCAGAAGTATAGTCAAGTACTCGTTTGATCAACTAAATACCGTCTTTCCATTTGCCATGCAAATTATAATTCTAGTTGATTTTTTGTTTCTTATTAAAAACCTTCTTTGTATTCCCACTTAGGTACTTTCTTTGAAATTTTCTTCCTTTTCTTAACGTATACAACACTGTTTAACTGCTTTTCAGTTAATAATCTATATTATTATAAAATAACTGACTAAATTGATATTACTTGATTCATGAAAATAATTTAATTGAAAATTAAATAAAAACAAATACTTTAATAATATTAAAAATAAAATTAAAGATATATGTATTATCTTATTTTTAAATATTATTTTCTTTCAAAACATAAAGTATTATTCTTTTTACTCATATAATGGGTGTGTCCAATTCAATATTAATTAAAATCTTGAACATAGACAACTAGACAAATGTTATTTATATAGTTTTTTGAATTAATATCATAAATTATTTCTAAACTATAATAAAATATTTAACGTATTATTTGAATTTTAAAATTTTTAATGTGATATTAAAATTATAAATTTATTAATTAATATTATATTCGATGATTGTTTGTTCGTCATATATCATTTAAATTTAATTATTATAAAAATAAGTATCATTTTAATTAATAAATTCATAATTTAAATATTACATTAAAAATTTTTAAAATTTAAATATCATATTAAATATTTTATTATAATTAAAGTTCATTCATTTATGACATTAACCTTAACTATTTAAAATATCATGCATGTATTTTTGAAAATATGAGTACACTAACAGCCAGTTTCCATTAATTTTATTATTCAACGGTTCAATTTTTAATGTTCAAATTACATGGTGTGAATGAAATCTTGATGAGCAAATGAGTCAACACGTTAAATAAAAAAAGAAAGCTTTGAAATCGTCCTTTCATGACAATTCAAAAAGTGCATGCATTTATTTCACCGAAAAATACCCTCCCAATGAAACACTAATAAAATCAATTTAAAAAAAAAAATTGAGTTTATTCAAAGAATCAAGTTTGCATTATTTAGCATTAGCATTAAATGCGAAGCTCAGGCAACACAAAAGTACTGTACTTTATTCAAAAAATTAAAAGTATTGTATTATTAAGTCATAACCAGATTTTTTTTTTAATTCCTTTACATTGCCTATATAACTCATCAATTTTTAAAATTTGAAGATGAAATGTGAAATTAGTTACATGCCAAGCAAATTCTACCTTAGTTTGTAAACTTATAAGTATTATTTAACTCAATTGATTTATATAAATATTTTAAAAAATAATATATAGTAAATTTAAATTTTAAATATCAATATTTATAATTTTTTATATTTTTAAATTACAATTTTTTTTTTATAAAGAAATCTAGCATAGGCAAAAATTCAATCTCTAAACTTATCATTAATGGCAACAACACTATCATCTACTAATAATTTTGTAAAATAACCGTTTTAAAATTGGAAAATAATTAGTCCCTTTTTTTTTTTAATAAGATGCTTATAGAGTTTTCTAGTTTTTTCCTTTTAGTATTATAATAATAATAATAATAATAATAATAATAATAATAATCTCACGATTTGATGGATTGGGCAATTATAATTCTAATTTACTATCATTATCAAAAACTAGCTTTTATCAAAATAATTTTTCGACGGTAATAACATATATTTCGTTCGTAATAGACAAGTTGTTAATACTATTTCATCGGTAATATGTCAAATTTATCGGTAATTATCGATGAAATTTTTTGTCAATAATAATTTTGTTAGTAATTCAATTGATAATCCATCAATTAAAGTATTGGTAATCCATCGGTATATTCTACTAGTAAAATATGTTGGTAATCCCTCAGTAATTTTTATTTTTCAATTATATTTTGTTTGTAATTTTTATCATTTTATTCTAATTTTTTAATTTAATTTTTAAAATAAATAAACAAATATTAAAATATACATAAATAGAAAAAATAAATAAATAAAATACTACATTTTATTTATAAAAGAATATAATAATGTTTTACAAAGTTATTTATGAATTTTAAATTCGACATAAATAACACAATTTCCTTCAACTATTGTAAAATACTTCACATAAACCAATCTACTTGCTATCATAATAAAATAGAATCCTATTACTCTAAGCTTCAATTCTTTCCTATCATCCCTAAGAAGAACAAAGCCATGTTGCTTTGGATAATGAAACCATCAAAATTGTCATGAAACTTTGAATGATTATCCCTTATGCTTTTGGGCACCCTTGCCAAACCATCTTTCTCTTGTTCCACCCACCTCAAGGCTATAACTATTTTTTTTTTGCCTCATTATTGTCTTATAAACTATAGGAATGCAATAAAAATAGGAGAGATCCCAAGCTAAAAGGCTTCAAAATGCAAGCAAAAGTATTGACCAAAGTAATTGAAAACCTAAAATTTGAGAAAAAAATCCAACTATTAGTGCTATTCCCCTCACAAAATCTTCAAATAAAATCTAAAATAGTAAGTTTCAGTTTATTGAATCTCATTGTGCCACGTCAAATAACAAAAAGAATAATAATCTCTTAACTAAAAGCAAAAATCAACTTAGCAATAGTCTTAATTTTGTATAACACAAATCCTACTAACCATTTATTTAGGAATTAAACCCAAAGTCTAAATTGCAGAATTCACATAAAGTTGTAAAAAAAATTAAAAGTTATATAAACAGGCAGCGAAAGGATGTGAAATGTTAGAGAGACCTTTACATTGTGATGATTAAGGCAAGTCAAAAAAGAACCTAGTTAATGTGTGAAAAATTAGACTCATCGTCATCTGACACATCATAAAATTTAGCACGTGCACAAAACAAAGATCTTTAATGATCGTAAACCAAAATTTTCTCATCAGTGGAATTAGATAATAAAATATGAGCTCTTACTAACTAAAAACAAATAACATAAGTAGATGATAATTGCTTCAAATAAAAGAATCAAACTTACTTTTAGCATTAACATTGCCCTTTCGACTTGTGCTAGAATATTGCCTTCTCTTTCATAGATCACCTTTTCAATTTGCCAGATGAAATGTCTTATAGTTCAAAATAGTAAAAAATTGCTACAAGAGTCAACAGCTAAATTCTATCATAAATGCATGCTAAAAAAAAATGTCATAATAACCAACAAAGATACTAGTTAATGGACTCATGAAAAATCCAAATGAAAAGAATAACAAGAGGAGTGGAAGTAATAAAAGTAGAGCAATTCTAATGAATTCAAAATTCTAACTCATCGAAACCCTTTTCTATTTAGAAAATTGCCTAAAAAATTTAAAACCCATTTGAAATTGAAAATAATTTTAAGAACTTGCTTAAATGAGAAGAAAGAGACAAAAGAGAATTAAAGATCACCTTATTCACTTTTTAGCATGTTAGTAGTTTCATATTACAAATTCATAATGCTGTTCAATAGCTCAATATCACATTATACTACAACCATCAAAATTGGTTTAAGCTATGCAAGGGCAAAAGATGTGGCATGTTATTTGTAAAAAGTTTGTAGCTCGACTATCTTATTTTCTTATACTACCAAATTTTCTCTAACCAAGATAGCTAACAATGTCTCTAAATGAAAACCAATTACATGTTGGCTCATTAACCTGAATCCAATATGTTTGAAAGCACTAGTTATCAAAACATGAGTACAAAATCATTTGAATCAAAGGTTCAAAATTATATTCCAATACACAAAAACTTGGAGCTTTTCATATGAACTTTATTTGCATACCTAGTTTTAGCCATAAAAGAATGAATCACTAAAGAAAAACATAGCTTAAAAGATTCTGTAAACTTCAACATAGCTCAATTTGTATTTTTAAGCAATTAAACAAGGAGGATAGTTTTTTGTTCTAGCCTAAGATAATGTAGTAAACTAACTTTCTCAAAGTTTGTGCAATTTCATCAAAGACTAACAAAGTGGGAGAACGGGAATAAAACATGCACAATGTCTTTCAATTACCATAAATAAACTTTTTTAAAGATATTGTACGTAAAAGATTGGAGCCTGAAGGATCTATGGAAACCCTCAAAAATTGGTTAGAAGAAAGAAATCAAATTCTCACCTACAATCATTTTGTTTATCACTGAAGTAGGAGGATTTATTCTTAGATCTACACTCTACCTTATGAAAAAAATTCCTACTTAGCAATTCGGCATATCACATTATTCTTTTACATATATATGCATTAAGAGATTTGCAATAAATTGTTCATAGATATCTAAAATAAGTAAGATGCTAATGACTAAATAACTTACCAAGGGTTAAACTTAAAGGTAAGCTCCTGCAATTTATTCATTTTGTTGAAGCAACAAAATGCTTCATAATAAGA